ATTTTTTTCCCCGACACTATCGGCAGTATTGATGTCGCGCGACATGTTGATGTCGATGGTGTACGACTGGAACCGGGCTCATCTGCCGCTCAGCCACAGTATGCACAGACGGTGGACAGTGCACGGTTACTCGTGCGCACAATGGAAGCTGCTGTGCAGTCGCTTTACGATGACGGTGTCGCTTTGCTTCTCGCTGCCCAAGGACTCAACATTGATTCAATGGATGATCGTATACCGTCGTCGGAGCGGGATTTGATGGACACTCTCGTTGTGGGACTCGTTGCAAATGCCAATGTTGCCGTGCAGAGTCTCGAGGCTCTCCTAGCCGTTGGGTTTGACCAATCCGATATCACCCAAAGTGACTACATACCACCTATGGAGTGGCAGAAGTCGCATCCGGTGGACAATCAGGACGAGGATGTTGTGAATATGGAGCTAGCATTAAGCCGGCCAGGTGTCAGGGCCATGAACTCCGTGGACTCAACACAGACATCGTCTATGCTATATCACAGCTCATCGCAGTTACCAGATGTATCGCCGGATTTGCAAGGTAGATCGCGTTCGGGCAGCCTCATAGACCCCGTAACGCCTACGTGGCCAGAGCAATCAGAGTCGAGTACACTTGTCGCTCAGTCGACGTTGGGGGCAGAGTCGCCAGACCCCCTGGTGGACGTCGATGAGGAGGATCGTGAGTATTTTAGATTGTATGGGACATATACATGAGCTAACGTTTTCGTCCAGCTTCGTCATCATCCAAATCGCCGCCCAGGGCAGCAGCAGCAGCGCGGAAGCTCGTGAAGCTTCTCGGAGAGGAGGCACCGCGGCACGTACTTGAAAAATACAATGCCGACTCTAAGCCTTGGTATCTGCGACCAAACTATGACCCGTCGGAGATTCTGATGGACCCGGATGGTGCTGTGAGGGCCGGTGCACCCGCAGCGCTGATAGAACGACTAACCGCCCATGAACATATGGGTACGTTTAATTCCACGGTGGTGAATTAATGGCTGTCTAAGGAGTTTCCTAGATCCTACGTTCAACCAGAACTTCTTGCTCACTTTCAAGTCTTTCCTGACGGTCGATGAGCTATTTGATCTTCTTGTAACCCGATTTTCCATAGAGGCACCAGCTGGATTATCCCCTGCTGAATTGGATGAATGGACAAAGATGAAGCAGCAAGTAATTCAGGCACGGTATGGCATTTGCTTTGATGCACGCTCGTTTACTTACCCATAATAGGGTTTTAAACATTTTCAAGATCATGGTCACTGAAGACGGAATTCTCGAAAAGGAGGACATGGGTATCCTCGGCCGTCTGAAGGAGTTTGCGTCCCGTGAAGATGTTGTCAACAGTGCTGCTAAACGGCTTCTTATCCTAATTGAGCGTGCAGTAAGCCACCGTTCACCTGTGTTCATTTGCGTCTAATTTTCGATAGCAACGAGGTGAGGACGCGCCGATCAAAATCAGTCCAGCTCCGCTAGCTCCACCACCTCCGCTTTTGCCTAAAAGTATGAAAAAATTGAAGCTGCTCGATATTGAACCCGTGGAAATCGCTAGACAGTTGACACTCATGGAGTTTGCAATGTACAAGAAGATCAGACCTATGGAATGCTTGTTGCGATCTAAGGAGACAAAGCCGGGGAGAAATAGCGACAACTTTTCCTCAATAATTCAGCTGAGTAATAGGGTTAGCTTCATTTGTGTTCTGGAAAGCTTTTGATGCTAATCAATACGCCAGATTGCGAACTGGGTTGCAGAGACAGTTCTAGAGAAAGAAGACTCACGTAAACGGGCTAATATTGTCAAACATTTCATTAGTGTTGCTGATGTGTGCTGCTTTTCTTCTTCGTCTAGAATGAATTGCACAACTGATTTTTGCTTGTTTCATAGCGTTGCCGTTTCATGCAGAACTACTCCACCATGACTGCTATCGTTTCAGGCTTGGCTACACCGCCTATAAGGCGGCTGAAGAGGACGTGGGAACAAGTAAACGCTCGATTTATGACGCAGCTCAGAGATTGCGAGTCCACCCTCGACACTAACAAGAATTTTAACAACTACCGCTCCACGTTGGCAAGGATAGCTCCTCCTTGTGTTCCATTCATTGGTGTGTCAGCATTACATTCTGATCATCAATCAATATCAATGATCTCGTAGGTGTATACCTTACGACGTTGACGTTCATCCACGACGGGGCGGAGGACAGGCTAGCTGGTATGATCAACTTCCGCAAGCGGCAAAAGGCAGCAGAAGTTATTCAAGACATCAAACGCTGGCAATCCAAACCATATAATCTCCAGACGGTCGCTTCTGTTCTATCTTTCTTGGAGGAATGCTTTGGCAAATATAGCGACGGAGTTGATTACGCGGATCAATTCTGGAATCTCAGCTTGGAACGCGAGCCCCGCGAGCGAGAGGACGAGAAGATGGCTAGATTATTGCAGGAAAGTGGTTTCCTCTAGTTTTTCTTAGCAGTCTTGTTTCCAATTTCTCTCTGATGCCATATGTAACTTTATATCTCGCCCCTGACTTATATTGTTTTGCTTGTAATAACAGTGAAACCCGGCCTGGATTTAAGGATAACCCGTAATTCACCGATGACTGCAGCCTATCAACCACAAACTGTCCGCTGATACATCGAGGCGAGATTTAGTTGTGTTGTGCGACGAAAATCGTCTTTCAGCAATGTCCACTTTGATCGTTTAGTATTCATCAACGGTTATTCTGCAAGACCTATTTGGGACGACAGCAATCATGTACAAGAGATCACACAACAAAGAAACGACCATTTCCCCAGTGGAGAAAGGTCCATTTCATGAGGGAGGAAAGGCTTACTCAAATCAGTTGACACTTTTTCCAGTGCCTTTCTATTGCGAGAAAATGGACATGTCTTTGTTGTGTCATTGCCCAACGACGTGCGCGTAAATTGTGCCTATTACATCATTGGCCAAATAGGCTTCTGCGCGTCTCCTAAGAAGTAATAAGTACAGCTGTATGATAATTCTAGCTAATCATTGCAGCGTCATCTCTTGAGCGTTCTTTGTTTTTCTGCAAACTCTACAATCTTTCTGTCCACGAACATGCCTTTACGCTCCCGTACAGCGTCCATATAACCCTTCGCAACATTAGACCGATCTGCTTTTTCTCCCAGATCCTCGAGTTCCTCCTCGGTTGTAGGAACCCAAAAAGGGTCTTGGTCAAGCATTTCATAACTGGTATCGTTAATTTAGCGCAAGCATCCTAGGAACAGAAGAATGAGCTGACCCGCTGAAAATGAGCTGAGGACTTGCCGCTCCTGATGTGCGTTTGCGGATATCTGTACGATACGTGTGTTAGAGACAAGGTTTTAACAATGTCTCGAGACGCACCATCTGCGAAGCCGAAACTTTCCACTACAGGAAGTAAAGCCCGGACAGTGAAAATATCTGTGCCATCCTTCATTTCCTCCGACACAATTCTTCCACGCCTCTTTGCGACGACACCATACACCTTGCCCAACACATCCGCTAATAAATTGACATAAATCCCCACAGACGTTCAAATATCAGTAGTACTTACTGGACGCCTGGATGTCACACGTGTACATAGCGAGCATTAACCTTGGTGACCAATCCAATAGTCCGCTTCGGCAGGCATCTTTTACCGAAGACATTAATGCACCGGTAATCTGAGCCATTCGATTAAGTTCTGTGAACCGTATCAACACATGAAGGTGACGAATAGTGGGACGCCTACGCCTCTCTTGTTCAATGCCTTCTCTGTCGATACTCACGGATTCGACAAAATATGCCAAACCTTCCGTTGGCTCTGAGCACAAGGGCCCTTGGAACGTCGCGAGTTGAAATCCTGCCTCCAAGTGACTGTCCAAATCACGTAAGAGCGGTTCTTTCTCCTTACTCGACTCCGCCGCTTTATTTCGTTCGTGGTGATGCTTGAGCCTGCGTACAATTTAAATGATGAAGAGGACCCAGTGGTAAATGCACAGCTTACGAGTTATAATAAACGCCTGGCCTTCCGTCGACAAGCAAGCAGCTCCCAGCTCTTTGCGGGCCAAAGGCCCAGATCCGCTCGGTGATCTCAGCCCATTCACCGCCAACCGTGCGACAGATGTCTTGCAAAGTATCCCAGAACTCTTCGGGTTTGATACTGGGCTTCCTCATAATCTCCCCTTGAATATCATAGTCCTCGTCCTCCGCATACTCTCCGTTCTCTTCGGCTTCAGCACCATCTGCATTCAGTGTTCTATTACTTTGCTCCGATCCTATACGCTTCAATGTTGCAATATTGTCCTGGAGATATTCTGATAATTGCTTGGGGATCGGGCTTGTCCTAATGGTGAACTTGACTAGGTCATTGAGAATCGTTCCGCAGATCGTTCCTCGTTTCGCATTAGACGTCTTCGGAGGAGCCATATCTACTGGCATATCAGCAGCGAACATTACAAAGAAAACAAGCCATACCAACAGCCCTGACGGCCGTCTCTCGGAATGGGACAATGGGCTTAGATGCATTGATCTCGATTTTTGCAAACCTCTCTCGCAAATCCTTTAAGCATCTCTACCAAAAAAACATCAGCGAGATGAGGAGAAAGAAAGTGAGATGAGATTGCCTCGAGGTGAAGTTCGCCTGCGGTCAAAATGACGTGTTCCCCCGTCTGCTGCTGGAAAGTTTCAACGCACGGATCTGCTTGGCTTAGCAGTTTCAAGCCTTGTATCAACTGAGGCATCTCCGATGGAATCTCCGGTTCAAGAGCAACTCGAACTATAGGAGCGGCCTGGTGGTATAATTGAAAATTCAAAAGAGGTATCTGATTGAGGGGGGCAATACTTACGTAGCGGCTTACACCGCCCAGGTTGACTAGACAGCCTTCAAGTTGGTTTATATCTAAGGAATCCGCCACACCGCCATCGTTAGGTGCGCACAGAGTTGCATTGCGCCACACTTTGCCCTTCAAACCTTGAATAGCGAACACGTTTCCTGCCTGGACGCTATCCACTGGGACAAGCTCGCGGCCCATCATGACATATAACGCCTCGACTTGCGCTGTGATGATATGCGGCAAATTCCGCGGATGCGTGGGCAGCAGAGAGGTATTGTATTTTGGTAAAATGCAACACACAGCTGTCCCCACTCGGATGGTACCAGAATATATACGCGCGAATCCAAGCAGCGTCTCGTCGTCAATTAATGCTTCAACGCCATCTTCCTTGCTTTCAAGCTGCTCGAGCGCAGTTTCGGGTGGTACCAACATCGATTGAGACTGCTCGCTAGCAGCGACCTGCGCCAGATCTCTGGCTTCCCTTACCGCGCGCGCCCTGGCGCGCATTTCCTCGCTCGTCTTCGGTGTTTTCTTGCTGCGTGGCAGTTCCTTGGTGGGTACTGCAAACATCTTGCTCACGAGAGCTATCACTTGGGCATTCGACCCAGAATTACATAAGTATAGGTTCTCTTCCAGCTCGTTTTTCGGCTCGACAATTGGCTCGTGTATGTCGGGATGTAACATTTTAGGAATACGGGTTCGCTGAGCGATGGAGGGGGGTGGGACGACATCTACTATTGCTTGAATTATGCACGATGAAAGCGACAGCCACTGCGAAAATATTAGCGTCAGAACCTGACGGGTGTCTCTTGATTTCAAGTCGCGAGGGGGGATTTTGAGATCAAGAGTATTAACAATCTTCGTGATCTTGTCGGGATTTCTATGGAGTAAAATACAAGATTGAGTTGTCTAGAAACCATAGAGACAATCAGTACGTACGGGTTGATGACTACAGCATCATACACGGCCCATATATTGTCAAGAACGAATTGTACAAATAATGGTTTCAAGGCACGACCACGTAGATGCTTGTGGCTGATCACTCTTTTCGTCTTTGGATCAAGGTAAAAATCACCCCACAGTACGGTGCGAAGGTTTGCCTCCTTGATACCCAGCTTCATGGCATACAAGTGCGCAAACTTGCCGGTACGGAATCCCCAGCCCGTGATAGCGGAAGCGAAAATAACGTTGCCACGCTCAGGAGCGAAATAGATATCCTCATCATCTTTCTCCTGGAATTCATCAGCTTCATTCACAGTAGCGTCCACTTCCTCGGCGTGGCTTTCCTTCTTCTCCGCTAGCCTACGCTCACGTTCCTCCCTCCATCGAAGATCATCCTCCATTCGTTCTCCGGCAAAGAAACTGCCCATAACCGCATTGACCTGCTCGATTAGCTGAGACAGATGGTGATAGGCCTCGACGGGGGAAAGCTTCAATTCAGTAATTAGTCGATCAAACTTATTGATGACTAAAATTGGCTGCAATCGGTCTTGCCATGCTTGTCTGAGGACAGTAATGGTCTAGATATGACATCAGATCGACGCTTCGCCGTTGTCGAGTATCTGCAAACGACGAACCTGGGTACAAACTCCTTCCACAACATCAACTAGGACCAGCGCACCGTCACACAACCGAGATGCAGTCGAAACTTCGCTGGAGAAATCAACGTGGCCCGGGGTATCAATCATATTCACGACATAGGTTTTTGAGGAGCTTCCTAGTGGAGTAAAAAGTCTACTCCCCGGCTGACTTCAAAATGAGACGCACCTTCAGTTGCATTTCTATTCATTACCTTGAACCTCAACGATACCGCACTGCTCTCCATTGTAATACCCCTCTGTTGTTCATCCTCTCTGCTATCGAGATACCTGATCTTTCCGGCCATGCGCGAAGAAATGATGCTGTTCGCTGCCAGGAGAGCATCCATCAGCGTTGTCTTACCATGATCGACATGTCCTATCGCTGTTACGTTGCGGATATCAACTGCTTCTAGATTGAGAGCCATGTCAGTGAATAATAATGTATGGAAGAGTGAATGGCTCCGAAGGACTCTGAAGTCTGGCAAAGAGCAAGACGTCCGATCTTGGTCCTATCTTATCTCATTTTTGCCTTGTGGGAAACATCTGCTAATGCTACAGACGCCCGTAGCTTGGGCTCGTATTTGATTTTACGCGCTGTCCTTGAGCATCGAGCAACACACTATGAGTATCGAGCCTGAGTGTCTTTGTCTAGCCTTTAGCCTTTCAACGGTCAACTCCATGATGATGGCCTCCTCGCTCGGAATATTCTGTGGGAATCCTTTGAGTCAGACGACACTATTTAGTGTATAACCGTGGTGCAGTCTCTGACTCAGTTCTTCTCTGCGACTATCTTCCGCGTGAACTGTGTCCATAATCTCGACGTCCGCTCAAATGCCTGCAGTCTGTTCCGGCAAAATCTTGGTGACGGGTGCAAACGGCTATGTTGCTACATGGATCGTGCGTATGCTCTTGGGACAGGGCTTTACTGTACGAGGGACTGTACGTTCAGAGGCCAAGGCGGTGTCACTTCGTGAAGAGTTCACACAAGATAGTGATCGCCTCGAAATAGTTGTCGTCGAAGACATGACCAAAGTGCGCACGGATCTCATCTTTCTCTCTCAATGTGATAGGGGCAATGAATACGATTGATGAGAATAGGCAGGGGCATTCGATGAAGTAGTTGATGGGATAGATGCGATTATGCACACCGCTTCGCCCTTGCACTACAACGCTATGGAACCCAGCGAGATAATTGTACCAGCCGTACTCGGCACAACACGCGTGCTCGAGTCTGCTCTGGCCCATGGCAACTTGGTGAAACGTATAGTCATCACTTCGTCCTGTGCGTCCGTGATGCAAGTACAAGATACCCCGCGTGTGTTCTCGGAATCCGACTGGAATGACGCAGCCCTTGCTGAGGTGGAGGAGAAAGGCGTTTTGGCTACCCAGCAGACCAAATATAGGGCGAGCAAGATATTGGCAGAGAGGGCTGCGTGGGAGTTCACGAAGGAGAATAAGGACAACATCAGCTGGGACCTCGTTGTGCTTAATCCACCCTACGTCTTTGGACCACCGATCGGCCGTACAGCGACGCTAGAGTCTTTGAGCGAGAGTCTGCGAGACTGGTATCGAAATATTTTTCAAGGCGGGAAGACCCCTGAAGAGCTTCCTGTGGTAGGGTATGTCTAATGCAATTACGCATGCCTAAACTCATCGAGATCGTGAATACTGCCAGTCAATGCTGGATCGATGTTCGTGACCTCGCGGATGCACATATACTAGCGATGAACAAACAGGAAGCTGGAGGCGAGCGGATCGTTGTTTATGGTGGTCCGTTCAAATGGCAGGACTGGGGTAAGCCCGTCTTCCGCAAACTGTTGGCGATGTCTCAAATATTGCCCATAGTGAATGCTGCGCGTGGGTGCGGGGCTGCGGTGCCACTCGGCGACAAATCTTATGATCCAGCCAAAGCAGCACATTACGTGTTGTATGATACTTCAAGGGCAGCCCGCTTGTTGGACATCAAGTATCGCACCATCATGGAATGCACTCGCGATACTATCGAGGATTTCAAGGGTAGGGGCTGGATTTGAAAGAAAGATGACACTGCTTAACTATATCGCTGCATGTATTTGTATCTGTCTGTTCTCTGCGGCGCACTGATGGAACAGCAACTCCTTCAATGCTAAGTTGAACGAGGCCGAGGCTCTCCAGATTCGTTATATGACGTAGGCTGCATTTGGCTGCGCCACCTCCGCTTCTCCGAGCGAGGATCAGTCAGCTCAAGATCCATCCCGGCCGCTATGTCGTCACAGCCCCTGACCTGTATGCAACGTACTCATGTTGAGGTTCCTTGTCCGACTGCCTTCTTCCCGACCACGAGTTGCCATGGTATGGAGTCTCGCGCCCACCATTACTCAGGGTATCCTGAATATTCCTGGAGCTACTGCGCAGTCCAAAGCCACAGCAGAACGCATCCTAGAGGAAGATAGGGCAACGTACCATTGCTTATGGGGGAGAGTGGGACTTCACAACCATCTGAGTCACCAGTATGCTTTATCAAAATGTCGTTGGTTTACGAGTTTGACACGCTCATGTCGGTGTGCTACATAGTATACTCGCCGCGTATGACTTCGGGGCGTCTAGCCCACTTCTCCAAGCCATCTACGACAAAGAGAAAAGTGGTCTATCCCCCATCCACCTTGCAGACAGACAGACGGGCGCCGTGGAGGAGCAGTTAGTTCAAATCACGTCTCGCAACTGGACAAAATTCCTTGGCGATGAGAAGTAAACCATCATCATGCTTCCAATCGTGCGCAAAGCTGATAGCGGCCGTACTACTGCGTTATGATAGATACTATGCAAAGTATCTGACATTTTTTTCTAACGAGTTAGCGCAACGCAACGTGGGCGAGGTTTTCGAATTGTACATATTCGAACAGGCTGCGAACCGGAGTGGCGCATACATGTTATCACGATTTTTGAGCGGGGCGTAAGTGCAACATCTTATAGCATTGCAGATGAAACTGAACGCCGTATATGTAGCGTTCATCCCATCATTCAGACAGGGGTAAGCTTCATCGTCGACGCCGAGCGTTTTTCATTCTGACCACCTCATAGTACGGCGTTGAATTCGGAAGCATTGCAATGGTCGCCCAGGGTACTGTGCTGCCATTCATTATCCAATCCTAATCGTCTTACTGGGCTCGCTTAGGTCTCGCGCAGACTGCAATCCATTCCCCGTTTGTACCTGAGCTATTCGACTTGAACTCGGGAAAATATGTGAATGACGCTACAACTGAAACGGCTGGCTCCCCCCGACGTCAACCAGCTCGAGGCAGCTCCCTCCTTGCCATCCTTCGCGAAGCGTACGACTCTCCAATTATGGTGCCCGTCATGCCCTACGATCCCAATGCATTCTTGCGTGTGCGCATCGCAAGCGTTCTGGCAGATCCAATGCGTTTAGCGGAGATCCGCCGCCTCGCCGCCAAATGGTGCATTGATGTCCGGCGTGGCCAGCAAGAGCTCGATGATAAGGTCGAAGAGCTGCTTTGGTTGACTACTTTACTCCTTGCAAGCACAGGAAAGCGGGACAAGTCGCCGCGCTTGGATTTCTTCCTTATGCACATGCTCAACATGTCAATATTTATTCCATCATTGCTTGCCGTCATCCCAACAATGGAGTCGAAAGCCACACTGCTCCGCTCCTTGATCCCCGTCTTGCTTATGTACCTCACCATCCGCGGCCGCCCGAGGATCGACCCGGAGCTACTCTTGTCGTATACCGAGACACCCTGCCCGCCCGGGGTGCGCGAGGAGCGGCCTCACAGTTCTTCGATTGGCGATTCTTGTCAGACCGAGTTTGTCAACCCTTGGCCGGCGATCGTAGCCTCTGTCTTACATGCGCCTGATCCTCATACGTTAAAGGCAATCCGTGCACTGTACTATGCCGCACAACAGTATGGTCGTACCCCTGCTGGCGGTGCCATTGGTGCATTCGACGCGGAAGGCAAGGAGACTCACAAAGGCATGGCCAGTGCAGATGGCACCATCTTTGTCCGGGCTGCTGGTGTTGTAATGGATACGCTAGGATGGGTAACTCATGGCCAAAAGGCTGGTAATTGGGATAGCAGTGCTTTGGGCTGGGATGACGCTTGGAAGGATCAGTAGGAGGACCAGTGACTTGCTCGTTCGAATTCTGCACTCTATTTGGGTGCTGGTAAAGCAGTTCCTCATGTACACAGCAAACCACCAGCATTTGAGGAGTGGTACATCATATAGTCACCGAAGTGCTCTTGGCGGTAGACTGGCTAAAAACCACGACAATCCATTGAATAGGGGCCAGACTGTCAGCCTATCCCGGGCAGCGGCCCGGGTCTCCAGCAGACTATTGGAGATTTCCAGGACCATTCAGCTCTTTCATTTCATTCCCGAACATGATTCGTATACTCAAGTATGGCGTGCTCCCAGTTCCGCCCTGCCATCGGATCTGTTCGTGGCAACCCGCTTCTTTGCCTCCGCTAGCCTCCTTGTAGTATGTATGACCCGCCGGGGTTCGCAGCGCTCTGCCTCCTGCGTGTCCCACCCCCTTGTCCTTGCCATTGTACTAAGTAACTTCTACTAGGCATCTCGGCGTCTCTGCCCTTCAAGTTGTATGGGTCCGCAATTTGCCTCTGCGCTCCGGGCTGCTCCCGTCCTTATAGTACAGGTTCGTGGCAATCCACTCCAGCCTCTACGGTCCTCGTGCCAGCCTGAGACTATGGGTTCACGGCGATCCCTCCCTCCCGTGCCAGTCACTGGAACCGCCTGGCGTGGATCATGTAAGAAAGACAGACGATTTGGTGCGCTTTATTTGTACTATTACCATGTCCTCTGTTGTAGCAATATGGTTTTTCTATTGTATACGTTGGTACTAGTAGCAGAAGTCCGGAACATGGTCTAGCTTGAAGATCATTCTTCGTGCGCTTGACTCGGGGGACAGTTTGATATTCTACAAGCAATATACTGTATTGGATTACCATGTGTTCGTCACGACATTACTAGCAGGCCTCTGTCAGCCGAGGTTTGGCCAGGTTAACCTCCAAGCATGCTAGGGCATTTGGCGGCTTGAATGAATTGGTCACTCAGAAGGGAGGTGTACATACTACGAATCTGGGGAGGCCGGGATGATGTGAAGTGGTACAAAGTCGTCTATACCATCGCGTACCATCAAAACCAAAGAACAGATAGCTGAGTAACTCATGCTGCAACCGGAGGGTTTCCTGTGGCCTGAGCCGGCAATAAAAAATCAACGCGTTTCCACTCCCGCTCTGAATACCATCAATTTACTATCTTCAATACTGACGACTTGAAATGGTACAACTCGTTTCATAGCTACAGGGTATGACAGCGGAATGGATGTCCTTCGCAATACATGAAGACTGAAGTTCGTGCTGCGTGGGCAGACAATCGACACAAGCGTTAGACTCATTCATAATTTCGCTCTTGCCGCCTGCCGCGTTTGTTCTTCGTAGCGGTCCTGCAGTACGCGGCGAAGCACTTTTCCAGTCGGTGATTTTGGTATCTACGTTCAAAAAATGAAGTGGATCGGGGTTACACCATTCAATCTGACACTGACCTCATTGATTGCCTCTATGCCTCCGCGGAGCCACTTATACTTGCTCAGATTTTTCCGGGACCAAGCATCTAGTTCTCTAATGACCTGGGCGAGCCCACGCTTCCGACCTTCCTCACTGAGCACAATCCACGCTCTCGGAATTTTCTCATCTGCTGCCCGGGAGCCCGGCACACCACCGACACAGATATCGGTAATCAGCTTGTTCGGATGGGCGATCAACACATTTTCAATCTCACTCGGTGAGACTTGCATGCCAGAAATTTTGAGAGTATCCTACCATCGCAATGAACATCGTGCGTGTCTTCAAGAAGAAAGAAATGGCACACCTTGGCTCGATCTACGAAGCTATTCTCGCCAGGATTATCAGCGCTGTCTCATGCATGCGCATGACAGATTACATACTAAAATCTTCCAAGCTCATCTATCTTCAGCTGGTCTCCCGTTTTCAACCAGCCATCTGGCCCAAATGTCTTACGGGTAGCTTCTTCGTTCCCCCAGTAACCCAATGCGACATTTTCACCTCTTAGCCAAAGTTCTCCTGGCTCGTGAAACTCGGCATCTGAGCCATCTTCTCGGACAATGCGTCCCTCCATACCCGGCAGAAGAACACCTAGTGCTCCAACAATCGGAGGTATCTTGCCACCAAACATCTCAGGAGAAGTCCCCCGCATAGCGCCGATTGTCTGCAAAGCCAACTCCAGAGAAGATCAAGTATTCATGCTACAGAGACTCACTACTTCAGACATGCCAAATCCTAAGGAAAAACATAAGCATTTCCATATGACAGCATAGAACGTTCATCAACACACCCTCGGAAATCTCCAGGTTCCCTCCAAGGACATCTTTCAAGCGCTGCGGAAGAGCTGGAGGCAACTGCGCAGCACCAGATGCGATAGAAACAACGGAAGCGAAAATGTCTGCACGAAACCTCTTGTCGTGCACCAATTGATGAATCGTAGACGGAACCATGATAAGCACATGAATGTGATATCTGTATAAATGGTTCGTAGGAATCAATAAAGCTAATGACTCTTCTCAATTGAACTCAGCTTACTGTGGGACCACCTTGCATAAGACGTCGAGGTCCCATTTGGGTATAAGAATGAATGTTAAAGGAGACCAGAATCCTCGGATACCAAACATATGTAGACCATAGGAGTGATACATTGGGAGGAACGCTAATACTTTGACGGGACCGGCCTATGCACATGAGTAATTCCCATTGCGAGGCAGACTTATGTTTACTTACGGGTGCTGGCTGGTTGATCTCTTGGAGCGCGACGGCATTTTGCGCCAGAGAAAAGCAAACATTTCCATGAGATATCATGACAGCTGAAAATGAGAATTGTTAGTAGGAGAAAGAACCTCCGAATTAGTGAGGGAACATACCCTTTGGTAATCCAGATGTCCCGCTGGAAAATACCAAATATGCTAGTGTATCTTTGCTAACAGGTTTGACAGGCACTCTAGGAATTCTCCGCGCCCGTACATTGTCGATGAGGTCATGAAAGCTTTGCCTCCCCCCAAACCTCTCGGCGAATACGATAATACGATCCTCGGGCAGGCCTACCTCGCGCGCAGCCTGTAAAGCTGTCGGAAGGAACGAGGGCTGAACAAACAGGCGGGTAACTTTGGAAGTGCGGAGGGCTTGAGCGAGCTCGTACGACGTTGCAAAGGCAGATAACAGCGCAAAAGGGGTCGCAATGACTAGAAGTGAATGGAGAAGTGTGATGTAATCCTGTCGTGATTTATACAGCGTCCCCAAGAGATGAGCTGACTGAACCAGATTTACTCACCACCGCATTATGGCCGAGAATACCAACTATTTCTTGTTCATATTGACCAATGCCAACGCCTCCATCAATAGTCGGGGCGCTGAGCGCAGTGGCTCCATCACGTACTCTCTCCAAGAAGTCCTTCCTCGATACTTCCTGTCCGGTGAGACCATCAACAAAGATAGGGAAACTGGCGTTGGGGTCCCATTTCGGATTGTTGAATATGAAGTCGTGAACGTTAATATTTGGCAGGACCGGGACGGGACGAAACGGCGATTTAATAACCATCTGGACGCTGTTACTGAATTCTCAAGACAATATAAGATGTCTCGACTGATGGAGCAGAAGAAATACTAGAAGTCCAGCAGGATAGTCGACTACCTGCAGTGCGAAGTTCATTTTATAATCGTTCTGGACTTGACGGCGGAGGGACAACTTACCGAAAATATGCACGGGTTTAGCCTGGCAGTGACTACGACCCCAACAAAAGCACAAATTCAAGTAGTACCAGGCTTGTGACATGGCCAGCTTTCCCTAAGGCTTTCAAATTCCCACTGACAATCAGGTTGTTTCGGTTCGATAGTCCGAGTGATGCCCGGTGATATATCACATGCATATGCGACACTTGCCGTTGTTTAAAGTAGTAAAACACCACCCTAAGTATGAGTCTTGATCCTGAATGACTTGAGCCTTACTTGCTAGGTACTGGTGACTCGTGGTGAGGGCACAACGCCATTGTAATTGCACGGCAGAAGAGATGGGAATCACGATGGTTACACTGACAGCTCAGATGGCGTCCAATATTTGTGGGTGTGCCATGATCATGCGCGTTAGTAATTTAAGTTCCTGAAATCTGTCTGATGGAAGCGTCCGTCGTATAGCAGACTTGTTCGTCGAAATCGAAAATAAGCATCAATATCCTCTCGATAACACCAGCTTGAATTGGACGATATCACACGTCCATGGCAAGAATAAATCCCATTCATGCACAAGTAGATGGATAACCTGGTTGCGGAAGCAGAATTAGAGAGCGACGGTATACGAAGCAACATAAATAAGTACAGAACAACAATCAATAGTAAGAAGCAGGAATAAATCGCGTCAACTTATGCTGCATCACCAAGAGTTCCACATATAATACACCCAACTGACGTGAGCCAGTCACCTCACTTCTCTTGAGGGAAAGAATCGACCATGTGGGTTTCAGTATCAATCGTGATCTTCACTCCGTTATCTCCATCGGGAACGACAGGCTCAATTGTGTAAATATCGCCCTTCTCTGCGCCGACGACGCTGCTCTTACCGTCTTCGCCCTGCCAGTCGTTCGATTTACTTTCCGTGCCGAGCGGGACGGTGTATGTCGCGCCTTGTTGAACCTGCTGTATCGACAAGACAGGGTTCGTACCGGTGCCCTGTGCGCGTTGAGACCTGATAGTGCCTGCAGAGCGCACATTGGAAGTCTTGGATACGGCATTGTAGCGACCACCGTTAGCCAGACCACCCCGCACATTGAGGATAATACGCATAGTCATGGAAGACGTCAGGACAGCAGCCATGCTGGACCATAACGAGTTAGCCAAAGGTGAAATCACAATTCGCTAGAATACCCGCACCTAGTCACAATTGTCCGAATGGGATCATCGGGACCGGTCGGAGTAATAATGAACCAGAAGAACATGTTCACCATATTCACAAGCCAAATAGCCTGCAACTCCATTAGCTATGTTCAAAAGGTCCACTTTTCCATATACGCACCATGTACAGATTCAGTCCATCGCGGAGCATGAGCTTCCACAAGTTGACAGCCTTAGACTGATATGATTGATACGAGCGGCGTATAGCAAGGAACAGCTGTGTCGCGCCAAACCATATTAATGGAACACATTATTCCGCTTCACAATGTGGACGCACCGAAGCGCTGTACAGCAACGAGACAGAGAGCCAGTAAATGCCCACCCAATTTTGCTTAGGCTCTGCAATACAACCTTGGCCCGGCAGCAAAGGCGTATCTGCAAATGTGTCAGATCAACTAAGCGCCCCGACTGATGATGAGTCCTACAACGGTAGAAGCCACAACAAATGGCAGTCACGATGATTTGAAGGGCGTACAGACTGCCCATACCGTATAAAATAGATCGATTTTTTTCGTAGATAGCGTGGACCCGATAGACATGCACGAATGATGTAATAGCGAGGAGGATAGCAGTGCATATCGGCTCGAATAGGTAGAATTTTGAGCACCGCTGTAATTGGCGTAAATAAGAGTATTCGATCATGAGGAAGACTTCATTACCTCGAGAGACCAGGTGGTATCAAAGAAAGCAATTCCTGCGCAAGTGTGAGTAGTTGACACGAATGCGCGTTGACGACCGAGCAACGTACCGACAATAGTGAACTCGGCCGGTGTGTAAATGCGCAAGAAATAGTATATCAGTTTGAGAAGCGGCCACCCTTTGCTCCTCATGAGACGCCATGTCCGCGGGGTGAGCACCAGGACGTCCCAGGCGGCAACGGTCAGAGTGCAGACGAAGAAGTACTTCTGAGCGGAGAGATGCGAGGGCAGATCTAGCGACGGAGGGAGGGTGATAGTACCGTTGCTCCCCGCTGAGGAGTTGGTCGAGTTAGACATGGTGGGGGCTGGAAGGAGGGTGTCCGACGGAGGAGAGGGCGGGGACCACTAACGGGATATTATACATGGACTAGCGCTGCTTGAGCGGTGCTCTATAAACGCCCGGTCGATGATCATCACCACACCTCCTGCCACCTTCGGAAACTTGCAGTGCAACAAACTCGCACTCCGTCCGCCTGTGGATCGCATCTCCCGTAACATCCTCCGTTCCCTTTTCCTCGCCATTGCCGCCTGCCCGCCCCATCGATGGCATTCTCAGCATCGCTGGCGCCGACGAGACGAGCCCGCAGGCTGAGACGGCCAGCCACAGGAACTGCCCTAATTGAATCCGAAGTCCCCGAACGTGTCCCATCTACGTCGAAGAATGATAATCCACCTGTCGTGGGTATCTTGGAGCGATAACCAGTCGCAGAACCGCCTGCCATCTCTCAAAGAAGCCTAGGTGTTGCTACAATCACTTCACTTCCCCTCCAAGTTATCAGAGATGCTCAGCAGAGTTGCTTTATTCAACACGCTCTTCCCACACACTCTGTCAGGAGACTCTGCGTGCGCCTCAGGGCCCCAGCACATTCCTCCGCTTCAATGCTGGTGTCTCGCACCAATAATTCTCCTCGATCGCGTTATGGCTGTGGATGTCAAATGCTGTACTTTGTACTTCAAAGTACAACAACTGCTTCGATTTGGTTTACGCAGTCATCATGATAATTCCAGGATGTGAGATGGTCGGGTCTGTCATGCGGCTGTTTCCAGGACCAGTGCAGGGCCAGGTTTGCCAATAACCAACATGAAGAACTGCGCATACTAGTCCGTGAGTGCCCTTCCTACACAACATGTCTTGTCATCGATCGATACTTAAGTAATGCCACTTTATGACATTGCATGTCGTAAACGACAAATTGTCACTTGAAAGTCCAGGAGACAGCAATCCTGCTGGTCAGATTAACGGGATGTCTTGAATCTTATATCCCGCACATAGTATCTAGTTCGTTATTCGCACAGGAATCAGAAGTCCCCTCGTCTCAAGTGCTGACGCACCTTCTTTTCCAGGTCATATCAGTTGCCATCGAGCACCCCGCAGCACTCAAAGAATTGAAGCGCCATTGATGTGTCGTTATGTAGACCATGCTGGTGTTCAGTAGCTCTAGGTACGCCGTCAGTAACTCAAGTGGTTTCTTGGTGGTTCGCAGAGCATATTATGTGGTTGACATACACCGCCTCGTGAGACAAACAGGTAACTAGTAGTAGCGGTAGATGCCTAACATCTACCACAACTTGTATATTAAGATTACATGAACTGTATCAAACAACTGTTATATAGCCATGTTGTATGCAAAAGGTTCATGTAATTGTGGCGGTTGTTCTGTAGCGCATACATCATGGTGCTGCGGTGAATGCAAGTGCACCTAAGAAAGTACGCTTCTAACAACGGTCATACCGGGTTTCGTACGGGAAGCAGCCGTCATTGAACCTTGTAATTCAACAGCACAACGGGAGCAGTGAATTGAACCGTGGCGTATACAATTATGCTATTCAAGACCGGGTCGGACTTCAGCGCCGCCAGCGGCTCGATGCTTCGGCATTCCGATCGTCGGAGATAGGTACCATTTAGTAGTCATGGAAAGAATAATAGTTACGGACGAACGACACCAAAATTGATCAAAATAGTCGATGACAGCAGCAGAGCAATAGACCACTGAACAGCATCTGTCAACATAGCAATCCGTCTGTAAAACAATATAGTTTACGCACCATTCAAATGGACGTAGCATTCATACCTCTGCGTCAAAGGTGACACCCTGCCTTTGCGCAGATTCTGTGAGGAGCATACGGACATCAGCTATGTGTTCAGGCTTTCCTCGCCAGACACTGTCTTCGTCTCGGTCTCCCCAATGGAACGTATGGAATGTATCAACCTCATACCCTTGCAACCATTTTTGCCGTACAAACGTAGCGTTGAAGGGCGGTTGCCAGATCCACCACTTTTCAGACGCGAAATCTCTCATCAGCCGAACAATGGGAGCGGCGAGAGTGCGGATCACTCACATGGTCCACAAACAGGATGGGTTCGTCAGGAGGCACCACTAGGTGCACCACAGTCGGCGTAGCGATTTCCAAAAAGCAATCAGTCGCTAAAAACAGAGCGAGTGTATCTAGGAAGACTCGTCGGTGCCTTCCAGGTATATAGAGCGTATCCGCCGATCCCCCAATCAGCCTTGTGGTGTCGTTTGTATATGATGCCAAGCGCTCTCGTAGACGTGCGGGTACCTTGTTAAAGGCTTCCATGCAGACCACAAGCCCTACGCGAGGATCACTGCCAATAGACAGTGTCAGGTTGAGCACAGAACGAGAAAAACTCCGGGCACTGACCCCCACCTGACATTGTGGTTTGTACGTCAGCAGAAATGAAGCCATAAAAATGGCACCCACCACCAATCAAGCCCCCATCCTCTCCAGCTAGATCCAAAGTCGATAGTTGGATCAGGCGATACATTTGCGGGGGGCGCATGTCGACTTCTGTTCGCATTGGCGATTGCGTCACCTAAGGCTGAGTTATGCACATACTCAGCAAACGGAGAGTGATACCAGAAGTATCGCTGGTCAAACTGTTGGAGACGGGGAACGTTGAGAAGCGTGTCGAAAGGGGCCCAAAGATACCCATCGTAGCAATCGAAATCGTTCATAACCGTGTATAACATGTGATGCGCCATCTATTTATGTGTGAGAAGCAATGCAGAAATAGGACGGTTCTCATCGACCTACCCTTCCGGCCATCTTGTACAAATGAGGGTCGTCGGTTAGCTCCTCGTCAGACTGATAGGAATCCACGACGACATCGTACGAGTGGACAAATCCTGCATCTTCTCTACTCCCGGGACCAACGAATACAATCTAGCAATGGGTCGCACGCGTTCTCTCCGGTGAGTAGAAGGCGAAGACTTACATTGGGAAAAAACTGAGAGTAAACTTCTCTGTAATAGTCCAAGTTGGCGTCATACCGCGCGTGACTAAAGAACACGATCAGAAGGATATTATCAAATGAATGATAAGTTCTTTCGGTAGGCCAGAACGAAAGGGACGGGAGGGGTTTTCGGGTACAATCAGCTAACGCGGCGTCCAGTGCACCCATAACGGTCTCAGGTGTTCGAGGAAAACGGAAGACCATTGGCCATCCCCAAAAGGCAGTGAACGTAAGATAGAATGTGGTGCCCAGAAGCAGCACCGCGCTGAGCACCCGGCGAAATGGGATCGTGGGTCTCTATTCTCACGTCAAGTTGCTGGAAATGAAGATGAATATCTGTCATTCTGACCTTTGCTTGCCGCTGATCATCTTCTTTGGGCTGGTTATATGTCAAGTAGATGATCGATGCAAGAACTACAAAAATACACCCTGCCAACAGGGTGGAGTGGACTCTAGCAAGGCGAGTGGACAACAGTATCATGCATAATGCCATGCCGGATGATGACAAGATGCTCTCTGTTGCGGGATCCCATACTAACATCTTTAGTTTTCAGTCAAAAGACCAACCTTGATGGGAAAAAACCTCACAGTATATGACCACAAGGGTCATAATATCCTTTGTGGCTTGAGCAAAGCAGCCGGTTGCATCTGAAAACGGATTTACGATCGACATGACCGAGATGTGGCCTGGTAAGTATATTAGGAAAATTGACGCATGTATGACGAGTCCTGAAGCAAATAATATAATGTGCAAGGGGCACAGTGATATGTGAGATGCGTTGTAAGCCTGCATGAATCCATTAGCAGTAAAGGTTAAACATGCTCCATGCCTCACTTGCATTTTTTAGAATCACGCAGGAAAGTGAAGTAGATAACGCAGATGCAATCAAGATGGAGCACACAGCTTGGGTAGGAGACTTAAGCATGAAACTAGCCTATATAGGCAGAGCCATACAGGGGAAATATCAGCTAAAAATACAATGAGGTAGTGAGTTTCCACCTACTCGAACTGCAAGATATCCACAGAGCTGTGGCGTTTAGCAGTTACTCACTAATATCTCATTCACCGAATGGCAATCACTTACCTGAAGTAGAGCCGTCTGCCATTGTACGGCTGAAAAATATTGCAATAGGAATATATAAGAAAATATCAGGGTTATGATTGTCGCAACAGATGAGTCTAGATATAGTGTGAATGGATCCGTGAGATGCTGCGTGATCAATGTCTGGGAAAAAACCAAAGCGTGGACTTAATCAATGCGTGCAACACGTGAGAACCCACTGAGACATACACTGTACTTGGAGTAGGCAAATAGTGCGGAAGTTGCCACGATAAACGCAATTGTCGATCTGTGTGTCGTTTGAGACACCGTGGATGAGAAGTTTCTCCGGCTCCCGTAAGCCTGAGACTCAGAGTGTCGACCAATATGATCATCGGACAATACTCTTGAGAACTCCCCCTCTTCATCATCGGTATGAATTGCGACCCATTGTGAACCTAAGGCACTCTCTCGCGGGAGCAAGCATCCCAGGGAGAGAACTAGCTTAACAGCTTCCACTAGAAAGAACCGGGCAGCAGTTTCAGATACCGAGAATGCCTCCGGGCCGTGGCCAGTCACAATTGACCATTCGGTCCACACGCTGGTCAAGACGAAGAGGCACTGTTGAGTAAGAGGTTCCGCAGCTTCATGAGAATAGACCACTGATAGCTTGGAAGACGCGGCTTACAGGCGAGAGCCAAACATTCTTCTCCCAACCACTGTGGAACAAAGCAAACGGGAGCGACGGCATCTAGAGCCCTCTAGTGGTGAATGAGGAACTCGAACAAGGCACTCGCCAGCTCACGAGGTCGACGTGCAATGTCGCGCATAGCTTCAAATTCAGCGGCTGCCACTTCCATACTTTTCCACGCGCTCGGATCACCGTCTAGAGCTCCGGCCCGCCGGGTGAGTAGACAAGTTTTTAGTTCCGCGAAGGCTGAATCGATTTTGATTCAACAATAATAGTTGCCATGATTTTGACATAGGCAACTTCTGTGGTATATCGGATGCTATATTCGTACAGATCGGTCTATAAACTCCAAATACTCTCGGCAGCGCATACATATATTTACTACGTGGACGACGGAAGGGATAATTCTTGACAGTTGATGTGCAACTTCAGACATGCACGCCGTCAACTCCGTGGCCATTTGCCGCGACGGGCCCTACGCCATGTACCTTATTAACGTCAACCTTGACGACGCTGGCTCCGGCATCCCAGGCTTTCTTGTGAATAAGCGCACGCCTGCCTCTCACGCCCTCACGGAGGCGTTCAAGAACTGGCACCGTCTGTTCCCAAGAAATGCACGCATCTGGCAGAAAACATAATTAATCGGATTTACGTCGCCATTACCACAGACCGATAAGAAAAATCGTACCTGTAACGGACTGCCCATACTGTAGACCTGCAGGTCCTGATACAGGAATGTCCTGTCGACCTTCCACGAGATTGGACTCAATCATGACACCCATAATCATGTGCGATGTATCTCCGGACTCTAATTGCTTCGCCTACACTAGATGTCAGATACTCTAGCAGGAGTCCACATTTATACCACTTACGATATCCTCTGCGACCTCGATCTGTTTCTGGTGTTGCTTCGAGCTATTCCCATGACTGCAATCAATCTAACAGACCCTGATAAGACTATATCATCGAAGGTATCAGACTAGAGCTCACCATGATTCTCTGCGGGAACCCTGCCTTCGCCAGTTTCCCACCGCAGTCGCGGACGAATTCCGCCGCGTAGTTGGGTCCGCTAGAGCCCCCACGCAAGATAACATGCACGTCGGGATTGCCCTATAAAACATGAGTCGATTACTTGTGCTCAAGATAATATCAAAGCGAACCTCCGTCTCTACGATGCTGCTAAGGCCACCTTTTCCAACACTGAGGAATACGTGCGGTCTGCTCGCAGCCCGACAGGCATCGATGGCAATTCCAACGCTGCCGTCCGTTGAGTTTTTGAAGCCGGTGGGCATCGAAAGTGCCGAGGTAAGCTCGCGATGCACTTGCGATTCCGTAGTTCGGGCACCGATTGCCCCCCATGACACTAAATCTGCAGTGTATTGGGGGCTGATCGTGTCCAAGAATTCACAGCCGGCCGGCAGGCCCATTTTGGCGATATCGAGAAGTAGCGTGCGAGCAAGACGAAGGCCTCGGTTAATCTGGAAAGTGCCGTTCATGTCGGGGTCGTTAATTAAGCCTTTCCAACCGACGGTGGTACGAGGCTTTTCAAAGTAGACCCGCATAACGATATGCAAGTCATCTTTGGCTTGTGCAGCGTAGGCACAAAGTTTTCGAGCATATTCGAGGGCGGACTCTACATTGTGGACAGAGCATGGTCTAGAGTAACTGGGTAAACAGACCACTAGATAGGATTAAGGAAGTGACACTCACCCTACAACGACCAGCAGCCGATCGTCATTCGAACGTAATATATTCTCGGTCGCGTTTCGACCCTCTAGTACCGTTTGACAAGCAGTGAGTGTGCTAGAAAGCGTCTTGAGCCGTGATTCACATGTTGAAAGGAAATCTACATACAGAGGTAGGTCCTCCTGAAGGATCTGAGGAGGAATCAAAGGCCTCGTAGCCCGAACCCGACGGTCGTCAAGTTTATTAAGAGCCTCGCGGACAGTAACGGCCATATTTTGAGACACTAGAATGAGCAAGTAAATACGGTGTGTCCGAGATGGGAATGAGGGAGAGATGGATGTTCTTTAGCTTTATACCCACTGGTGAGACAAGCGCTACACGTTCTTGGGAACCCCGTAAGGGCAGAAGCGTGAGAAGGAATTCGCTGAGTGTTCTGATCAATATGCAGTAGGAAAGCAGAGGAAGGAGCACTCAGGTCACGAAGTCGTAAGTTACATCATATCAGATAAATATTTAGAAATTCCTCCGCCCCCTCCGGCTCGGTCCGAAATCCGGTTCCATACCGAAGGGGCACCTCCCAAATTTGGTCAAGTCGAGGGTACAATAGTACGCTTACAGACTTACAATCAGCACTGCATCCATAACAGAGTATTTCCACCTGTGATTCTGTGGAAATACTCGAGGATATCAACATTGAATTTTTTCTTGGAAATATCATGAATGCTACCTGGAGATTGGCACGAAAATTCGCTTTTTTTTGGAAAGTTTTGGAAGATATATTTCAAATGTTTCCTAAGTGTATCCAGAGCATTATCGATTCAAATTCCCTATGAATATCCTTAAGTATTGTCATGGTATTTTCACTGGAAATATCTTCTTAAGCTTGCACTGCAATTGGAACGACTGGTCGAGAGATTGCTCAAAATCGGTTTTGGCTGTTAAATCACAAGCTGACATTTGGTGAGGCATCAACGATCGGGGACAGGAGGGGGCAAATAAATACTAATTCTACCAGCCACGGCGGTAGAAAGTACATAAGACTCGCGAGAACTCACACTGAACCCTGGCGCTTTACGACGCCTGCCAGCAGCCTTGTGAAGTACACCTAAAATTCATCACTTAATACTGCCCGCCAGTGACCGCCGTGCTGTAACACGGACAGTCGTAGATAGCGCCGTTCGGTGACATAATATGGGCTTCGGATGGGTCTCGGAGCTGCGGAATGTTTTCAAATATATATTCTAATTTCCGTGTTCTCGGCGCATAGGCGGAGTTCGTGCAGCGGCTATTAGACGCTCATCTAACAGATGACGCACGTGACCGAATCAGTTGGGTGGCACTCGCGCAACTGCAGCCTCAGTGCCAGCTGCACACGTCTTATCTAGTTACTTGCTTCCAAGCCCAACTGCAGCCATGGATTTCTCCCAGATGAACGCGGCCGAACAGGCACACATGTCCAAAGTCATCGAGAAGAAACAGGCTAGTCCTTGTGTCTTGCATACCGTGACCTCGCTGTGACCATCGTCCCTCTGCAGATGCAAGACTTCCTGCGGATGTATTCAAATCTTGTAGAGCGATGTTTCAACGCCTGCTGTAATGATTTTACGAGCAAAGCGCTCTCGTCAAAAGAGGTGGGTTGTTTTGTCGTCTCTCAGGGTCGCCGTCGTTCAGCAAATCTCCGAATGACCAGGAGCAGTGTGTGATGAACTGCACAGACAAGTTTCTCAAGCACTCTGAACGCGTTGGGGCTCGGTTTGCGGAACACAATGCTGGTATGTTCTTATCCATAATGCTGAGAAGGTTAGGATTGTTTTAAGTCCTCTTCACAGAGGCGATGAATGGCTCAACAAGCAAATGAGCCAATCGTCGTCGTATCACGCCTCCTTGGGATCTTTTGCTACCGTCTATAATATTATTATGTGTTATCTCATCCTAATACACAACGCCTTGTCGAGCCGGGCTGCCAAACCTTTCTCGTTGACTGTGAATCCATCAGTAGACAATGCAGAACATTCGTATGCGATCGACCGACTAATCGCCTTCCTCGTGTTCCAGAGTGGAAATTCGTGTTCACAAGCTGGTCATATATTGTCATTATTAGTGACCCAGTCACACCAGTCAGATATTGGCAGATTGGTCCGTGGAGCCAATGTTTCCTGTCTCTTCTCCTATCTGATCTAACCATTTTGTGACAAACTTGGCGTGCGCCCCGTAGTTGATTGTGGTGTTCAGCACGTCGCTGATGGGGAAAAATTCATCACTGCATTCACACATCACACCACCACACTCACCGTACCATACCCTCGGAGTCGATGAAGAAGGTGACGCGTGCGTCGGTAAGGCCCATGAGACCTTTCCCAACCTGGTACGCTTTGCGTGCCTCTCCGCTCGTGTCGCTCAAGATGGGATACTTGGCACGCGTTGTCAATACCTGATAAGACATGTACAGAGGACGCTCTCTCACCGTAAGCTTCTCTTTCTCCACGAAAGCCTTCTGTTTCGCAACTGGATCCTTGCTGATGCCGACTATTTCCACTTTAGCGCGTTTGTATAACTCCTTTTCTGCGTTAGATTAGCGTCTGAGGGACCAGACTGGCCCGTGGAGTCACGGATCACAGAACTCTAACCTGCAAGGGCATCTCGGAATTGGCAAGCTTCCCTCGTACAACCGTAGGACCCTGGTTCGAATACTCTGCTAGTCCGAATCAACAGTCCGGCATTTGTGAGAATCATTCATACCGGATTCAGGATAGAAGAACAAGGCGATGGGTACTCCATTTGCACCAGGTGTCATTACGTATGTCTCACCGTTGGCGTCTGGGAGGGAAAGTGGTGGACCATGCTGGTTGATGAGCGGATGAGACATTGTAGGCCACGGGTGGTTAAGAGTCGAGGAAGATGATAGTAGCACTCGAGTAGCCGTGGCTTCGCGTAGCCAAGTAATACTCAAGACCACGAGGGCTTCCCGTTGTTATGTACCTGAAAGACACGCAGACCTTGATCCCGCTAGAGAATCGAGATACATTCAATCAGTTGCGGCCAGAGACATTCATAATTACACTCGGTAAAGAGCTCCCACTGGTATTAAACATTTCGTGTAGCTCACACCAAAATCATGTCGGCTAGTACACACGGACTCAAAAACTCGACGAAAGCCTCACCTAATCTGAGTTAATTGTGAGAGAAGTACCCGCGATATCAAATTTATCAGGGGGGGGGAATAGCTGGGAAGCAACCTATACAACCGATGGCAGCTTGTAAATACTCTGCGACGAGGGGCGCGGCAAAGTGACAGAGAATGAGGTTGGAATACGTGACGTAATTAAATAAATAGGTATCTTGAAGTAGGTTGCAGTAGTATATCTGTCATTGTTGGAATCCTTGGTCTGGCGCTCAAGCGGTGGCGCCGCAGGCCCAGCTTAACTTTATCGCCCATGTCCTCTGAACTTGAGCGATACGTTAGTGATAACTCTTTACGCGTTCGTCCCTTTATACAAGACTTTACCACTGAAGGCGCTAATTCTAGTTGCTGTGTAGTTCTTCGGTGTATCCGACCGGAGTATTATTGACTATGTCATAGCGTCAGGTGGGATTGATCGCTTCACATTACATTGCGATGGGCTAATATATCCCCACTTCAGCCTCGTCCTCAAAGTCTCCCGAGTCTCTATTCACTGCACTTAACGCTTCCGGGCTCCCAGACACACCCGACGCGCACCAATTCGCTCAAGACGTGTATTCTCGTGCGCCTCGAAAGTCTAAGCACAAGAAGTCTTCAGGTGCCTCTCGGAAGCAGGAAGAAGAACGATCTAAGCTCCTACAGTCCCAAAAGTATAGCTTTTTGCTTGAAGATGACGACGGGCAAAACGATGGCGTAAGTTTCGATGGTCAGACGAAGGTTTCGGGACGGAGCAGTGCGAAAGAGAAACGGGAGCGCCACAGTCGTAAACGCGAAAGCGACGCAAGAGATTGGGAGAGTGATGAAGAAGACAAGCTGAGCAAGAGGCCTCGATTGGACGATGTGGAACATAGACGTGGGGAGGATGATGATGACATGGATATTGGTCAACACGAAGGTGAGGAGGCGAGGAGAGAGCGGCAGCGATTAGACGATCTCAAGGAAAGGGATGAGTTTGCCGAGCGTGTCAAGCAACGGGATAGAGAGAAGACGAAGCGTGTCATAGAGGATCGGTCGTCAAAGGCCACGGGTGCGGCAGCTGAAGCAGCAGAGCGTCGACGACTAGCCGATGATGGTCTCGCGCGAGAGCTCGCCATGCCATCTCTTCGTGAACACTCTCGACAGGAATATCTATCCAAACGCGAGATACAACGAATCGAGCTACTTCGCCGAGAGATAGCGGACGATGAGGCTCTCTTTGCTGGGATGAAGATATCAAAGCGTGAGCGACGGGAACTCGAGAGGAAGAAAGAGCTTCTCAGACTTGTCGAGGAACGGCTGAAAATTGACGACAAGTGGGAAGGCTATCAATTACCGGAAGATTATATCACGGAGCAGGGTAAAATCGACAAGAAGCGGAAGGAGGGGGTATTATATCAGCGGTACGAGGAGGCAAAACCCAAAGATGACCAGTTCACCACTGATGTCGATCAGTGGGAGGCGGCGCAGACCAAGCATAGTACGTTCAAGACGGGTGCAATGGACAAACAAGAAATCGTGGAAGACTATGAGTATGTTTTTGATGAGAGTCAGACGATTAAGTTTGTTCTTGAGAGCACTATGGGAGGTGAGGGTCAGATGAGTGCGGCGGACAAGCTGCTTCAGCAGCAGATTGATGAGGCGGAGAAGCGCGGTAAGTACTACCTTCACTCGTCTACTTTCAGTGTCTCACTCTTTTCATAGCTCAGTCAATAGATGAGACTCGTAAATCCTTGCCGATATATCAGTATCGTGAAGAGTTATTGGATGCCATTAAAGCGCACCAGGTGCTGATTGTGGTCGCAGAGACAGGCTCAGGCAAGACAACTCAATTGCCTCAATATCTTCACGAAGCGGGTTATACGGCGAACGGTCAGAAAGTTGGATGCACGCAACCACGACGAGTCGCAGCGATGTCCGTGGCCGCTCGTGTAGCGGAGGAAATGGGGACAAAGGTAGGGTATGAAGTGGGATATTCAATCCGGTTCGAAGATTGCACAAGCGACAAGACCGTGCTCAAATACATGACCGATGGTATGCTACTTCGCGAATTTCTGACCGAGCCGGATCTGGCTGGGTACTCTGCGCTGATCATCGACGAAGCACATGAAAGAACGTTGAGTACGGATATTTTGTTTGCACTCGTGAAGGTCTGTCGACGTTATTTGACATATCTGTCTTAGGGCTTATATGTTCTGTTTGTTGAAGGATATTGCGCGGTTTCGGCCTGAACTCAGATTGCTCATCTCTAGTGCAACTATGGATGCAGCTAAATTTAGCGAATATTTTGATGATGCCCCGGTCTTCTACGGTAGGGATTTTACAGTGTCTTATATACTCTTTTAGTCTGACACTAGATGCTTATGCAGTTCCTGGACGACGATATCCTGTTGATATTCACTACACACCGCAGCCCGAAGCAAATTATTTGCATGCAGCAATTACCACGGTCTTCCAGATACATACGACTCAGCCGAAGGGAGACATTCTCGTTTTCTTCACCGTCAGTATCCATATCTGAGTCAATCATGGTGTTTCTCTACTGACGTCATGTGCAGGGCCAAGACGAGATTGAAGCAGCGCAAGAAAACTTGCAAGAGACTGCGCGGACATTGGGGAATAAGATTGCAGAGCTCCTCATTTGCCCCATTTATGCCAATTTGCCAAGTGACATGCAAGCCAAGATATTTGAACCAACTCCGGAAGGTGCCCGGAAGGTCGTTTTGGCGACTAACATTGCGGAAACTTCTATCACTATTGACGGTGTCGTCTTTGTGATTGACCCTGGTTTCGTCAAACAAAATTCTTACAATCCGCGGACTGGAATGTCCTCATTGGTTGTAGTCCCGGTGTGTTCTCAATCACATGTAGTTATACCTTCAGTTCTGAATTGTTCCTAGTGTTCGCGTGCTTCTGCAAATCAACGCGCGGGTCGTGCAGGCCGAGTTGGACCAGGAAAGGCCTTCCGATTGTATACCAAGTGGGCATACGCGAACGAATTAGAGGAGAATACTGTTCCAGAGATCCAACGCACGAATCTAGGAATGGTAGTTCTCCTCTTGAAATCCCTCGGCATCAACGATCTCATTGGATTTGAATTCATGGATCCGCCTCCAGGAGAGACGCTCATGCGAGCATTAGAGCTACTATACGCGCTAGGTGCTCTCAACGACCGCGGTGAACTTACGAAACTTGGCCGGCGTATGGCTGAATTTCCGGTCGATCCCATGTTGTCCAAGGCAATCATCGCGAGTGAGGACTATCGGTGCACAGATGAGGTACATATCGGGAAGCCTTGTCGCCTGGGTATTGACGGACTGACATATGTATACCCAGGTTCTCACCATTATTTCGATGCTACAAGAGTCCTCGTCACTTTTTTACCGTCCAAAGGACAAGAAACTGCACGCCGATCAGGCGCGACAGAACTTTGTACGAGCGGGCGGCGATCACTTTACGCTACTGAATGTATGGGAACAATGGGCGGAGACAAACTACTCGCAGCAGTTTTGTTACGAGCAGTTCCTGCAGTTCAAAAGTCTAAGTCGAGCTCGGGATATACGGGACCAATTGGCTGGCTTGTGTGAACGTGTAGAAGTGGTGGTCGACAGCAATCCCAATTCTAATGATGTCACACCAATCCAAAAAGCTTTGACGGCGGGATATTTCTATAACACCGTAAGTTTATGCTCATTATGTTATCTCGTTCGTGGTACTGAAGTAAGTACAGGCTCAGCTGCAGAAGAGTGGCGATTCGTATCGAACGCTAAAGACGAACCAGACCGTTTACATTCACCCGTCGTCGAGTCTATTTCAGATTACTCCGCCCGTGAAGACTGTGTTATACTATGAATTAGTGATGACATCGAAGTCCTATTTGAGGTACGTTGTCAGATGTCTCCTACTCACATTGCGTCTGATGAATTCGCAGGCAAGTGATGGAAATCAAGCCCGCCTGGTTGCTTGAGGGTATGTGAACTAATCATATTTTCTGTAGTTGTTGCTTACTTTCTCCTTCAGTTGCGCCCCACTACTTCAAAGTCGCGGATCTAGAACAGCTGGCAACTGGCGACAAGAAAATGCCCAAGGTCATCGGCAGTGCTGGGGAAAGGGTGCGAGCGTAGATTTATTTTATCCCGACTGCATCTATATGTATACTAGTGCTTTGTGGATAATATTTAGTCCCTGTATTGTTGTGTTCTTCAATCCTCTCCCCAGAGTCTCCGAAGATCCCTTGCTCGGAGAGCAGGGTTCTGCAGTGGTCCCGATCAACTTCAAGCGAGTCGAAGCTTGAAGCACAAAATCGCGTCACCGAGGGAAGATGTTGAGCGCTAGCGTCCTCGTGGTTCAGTGTTCAACGTCGTTCAAGGTGACCTTGACTACCTCCCATCGATCACAACAAAGAAACGACTGTTTTCTTGCAGTGGAAAGACATCGAAAAGATGCCAACTGAATAGGGTAAATCCTTCCTCCCTTTCGAAATGAGCCAAAGGCCCTGTCATTTCTTCGTAATGATCCCGCCTCTGGCATCTCCAATTATGGGACGATCCGGTATATGTTTCAACCCGTAATATGATTGTCTTTTGCCATACTTATCGTATTTGCCATAAAGAGACGAAATCGATTATCCGTGACGGTGGCGATCATCACCACGGCATGGCATCACAGATAATCTTTGGTGATTATGCTGTGATCGAACTGAGGCATAGCGACTTTCGCAGTAATCGCGCCACTTCACTTCACTACTATGACTACACCCACGTCCGAAGGCTTTGCCCCCTACCTCGTACCTGCCGCGAGAAAACCTTGCCAGACGTATTACAAGATCTTCGGCGACCTCACGTCAGGCATCACTCCCCTCATTGCTATCCATGGCGGGCCCAGTGTAGGGCATAGCTACTTTATGGTGCTGGAAGATCTCACATCGGCATATGGCACCCCTGTCGTCTTATATGATCAAGTTGGTTGTGGTAAATCGACGCATATTCAAGAAAAGAATGGCGATGTCGACTTCTGGACTCCCCAATTCTTCCAGGATGAATTCCATAATTTGAGGAAGCACTTAGGGATTGAAGAGTACAATGTCTTGGGGCACTCATGGGGCGCGATGTTGGGGATGATGATCGCGACTCACCAACCACAGGGATTAAGACGGCTAGTGTTGGCGTCTGGGCCGGCAGCGATGGATGATTGGGTGCAAACGCAGAGGAGATTGCTTAGGACCCTGTCGGAGGGGGTGCAGGCATGTATTGTCTATCGATGCAGAAATTGTATGATAGTTTCTCATGGGTCACGAACCGCCTAGCGAACGATCTCTGAATGCACGAGCGCCGGGACGACTGCTTCTCCGGAGTACCAGGCCGCATTTTTCGAGTACTTGAAGTCTTGCCTGTGCAGGGTGGTTCCATTTCCACAAGAGCTTCAGGATGGGATCGAGGAATTACAAAAAGATCCCACCGTCTGTGCTACTCTGTATGTACAGGATACTGTTTCATGCATCAAGGTTACTCACACAGGTGTTTTCTGTACAGGTTAGGCCTCGATGATTTCGAAGTCACAGGGTCGATGAAAGATTGGAGTATTGTTTCAGAGCTGCACAGGATCAAAGTCCCCACGCTGCTCGTAAATGGGGCTTTCGATCAAGCGCAGGACAGCGTGCTTGCGCCAATTTTCAGAGAAATACCTAAAGTGAAATGGTATACGTTCTCGCAGAGTGCGCACATGGCACATCTGGAGGAGAGGACGAAATATAGGGAAATTGTTGGAGAGTTTTTGACACAATGCGAATGAGTGACATGTTGGGAATCCGTGTATCGACGTAAAAGCGGCGCCGTAAATTCATTCGAATATTGTCGATTGGGCAGAAGGTGTCAGAGTTGCTCTCAAGTGTATGCACAGTACGTGTAATATATTTTCATTTGGATATATACGCTGTGTGAATTGTGCACGCGTACTTCGAGCAAGAGCTCGCTTTTCGCGACGGCGGGATATCTCGAGTCTATTGAATCTTGCAGTGCACGAACTTATCGGGCGACAGTGCGGCCTGGTCGCGACGCGACGCGTCGCCATTAGCGCTGGAAGTGACGCGCGCCCACGTGAGGGCGTGCCGCCTCGTGTGTTCAACTTCGACTTGTCGCGTTCGACAGACAAACCTCCGCGTTCACCTCAAAGGTCGGTCTATTTTTTTCTGGCTCTGGTCGCCATTATTTTCCGTATCAACCTCATGCCGGCTTCCTTGTCACCTCCCCGCACATCACCACCACTCACCCCCCCTCAGACCGTCTCTGATGGCTTCCAAACGTCCCCCGCTTCGTCCGATGATTCATCGTGTCTAGAGCTCTCATTTGTTTACGAAGTCAACGCTCAAGGTGACTATGTTCGCATATCTAAGGGCTCTTCGAAATCATCGTCGCCTCCCACTCCGGAACAGTCTCCAAAACTGGCCCAAGCTTCGCCACCCAAGGTATCCTCGCCGGCCCAGCAGTACAAACCACCTCCGCTCTCAAGATCAGAGAGTCTTCCCGCTAGCTCACTCGATCCTACACCGTCTACCGCCCCTCGATCCTTCACACGGGTAGCTTCAGGTCCTATTCATACACCGGCATCCTCGTCGTCTCGAAGTAGCTTTACCCCACTTTCTGTGGGTGGAGCTCTGCACAAATCTGGAGGAGCTCGTCGTGTAAGGCTTGAGGCGTATCATGAAACGGATGCCCTCGTACGCCCCCCGCCTGTTGATGAGAAAGAGAACGTTCGCAGTTCGCTTCAATCTCATACTCCTCTAAATCGGCCCATCATTCCCATTCGTCAATCGCGTAGCGCCAATAAAAAGTATGGGATCGAGAAGATCGTCGAAGAACAGATTCTCGAAGATCAGGACGGTTTTACCGATGCTCGATCACATTCTGCCACTACTGGCAGACCGCGCCGCTCTGCGAGTCTTAGCAATGCGTCTGGAACAGGTTCCAACCAAGATCCGGGTCAAGAGTCGAGGCTTTCCAATGTACAGTTCTACCAACAACAATACAATCGTCCTGGGACAAGCTCGGGAATGGCGAACAAGTTGCCTGGCCGGGTAACAATCGAGGAGAAGATACGCCAAGAACGTCAGATTGCTTTAGAGGAAGGTGCGTTGAGCTAGATTACGCGTTGCAATATTCTCACCAATGTTAAGGGTATGCTCGACGTGAAGCAGAGGAGCTCGTAGAAGCTGAACGTACGGGTTCATTGTTTAGTATCGCAGGCATCTCCCGTGCTTATTGTTGAGTTTAGGGAAAGCCCAGTCATCTCGTCATTCGCCATCCCCGACCCACGTATCTTCATCGCATATCCGGTCCTCTTACACTGGTCATAATCGCAGAAATTCTGATACGCTCCGGTCCCTCGCAGACCCACAGCCTGGTTCCCCAACAGTGGTTGAATACTCTCGCATTTCTCCTCCTGATCTCAGTTGTGCACCTCCCTCCGCCTCTAGTCTTTCGTCTATCCCCAGTCTTCGACATAGAAGGAGTCCTACTGTGCCTGAGCCGCCTACCACGAGTGGGGCAACGGCACCTTCGAACGGAATCGTGGCGAGTGCTGGCAAGACATGGGCCGCTGGGGACGGACGAGAGAAGGAACAGGAAGATCCATATGACTCTGCTGCGCAGGCGCGAAGTCTGCCCGCGTTGCCCTTGCCTCAGCTACCTGCTGCAGCTCCCGCGAAGCAGACACAGGTGGCACCTGCCCAACCGTCGCAGGGGCCAGCGCCTGTACCCGACGTTCGATCGCGCAACATGGTGGTATGTTTATTTATTCAAATGAGAGTGGACGCAGTTTATCGATAGCTGACTTGTACAGGTCAACAAGAAAGCATATGCACGGTTAGATATGATTGGTAAAGGCGGCTCGTCCCGGGTTTATCGTGTGATGAATGGCGCGAATGAGATTTTTGCGATCAAGCGTGTCTCCTTGGACAAAACTGATGCCGAGACTATGAATGGCTACATGAACGAGATTGCCTTGCTTAAGCGGCTGGAGGGTAACGGCAGAATCATTCGCCTCATTGATAGTGAACTCAAGGCCGGTCCTGGTGGGTCCAAGGGCCACTTAATGCTCGTTATGGAGTGCGGCGAGATTGGTTAGTGGTCAATAAAACTATCCTGTGAGTATAGCCAGCTAATCTATTGCATACAGATCTCGCACGACTGCTGCAGGAACAGCAAAAGGAAGCTTTGGATCTCGTTTGGATTGCTTACTATTGGAAACAGGCAAGTTCAGTGCAAGGGGCTGAAATTGACAAGCTAATTCTTTCCCTTTAGATGTTACAAGCCGTGCATGTCATACACGAGGAGAAAATTGTGCATTCTGACTTGAAACCTGCCAACTTTGTACTTGTTCGCGGTCAGCTGAAATTGATCGACTTTGGCATAGCCAACGCGATTGCGAATGACACAACCAATATCCAGCGAGACCATCAGGTACGTAATGGCCAACTCGTCTATCGATCAGCCGTTATTGATAAATATGGTTTTGCAGATCGGGACCGTAAATTACATGTCTCCTGAAGCAATAGAGCTCCCCGATGGGATGCGTCGTTTGAAAGTTGGCCGGCCAAGTGACGTCTGGTCATTAGGTTGTATACTGTACCAGATGGTTTATGGACATCCACCGTTCCAACACCTTTCAGTATATCAGAAGATGAAGGCCATTCCAGATGGGACACATGTTATTGACTTCCCGGAATATTCTACGCCGTCAATTCCGCCATCGCGCTCGTCAGGATCAGACGGTCTACATTCTCCTCGGAGACTCGACCATTTACGCGTACGCGTACCGGATAGCGTCATTGCAACGATACGTAGCTGTCTTGCCCGAAACCCTAAGGAGCGCATGGCGATTCCTGAGCTGCTTCAACAAAGTTGGCTAGTGACTGGTGCTCGTGAGTGTGCAGCACATTGAAGTTTTAGAATATTTCTAATAAATTACCGGCCCGTAGCTGAGCCCTCTTCCCTACTATCTGCACCCCCTCCATTCAAAGAGGATGAGGCAATGATCAATCCATTTTTTATGCAGCAGTTGTTAAATTATGGAATTAGCCTTGGCCAGCAAGGCCGGGAGATGGACAGTGACGAATTACTACGGGAAGCAGAGGTACGGAAATCTGCTTGAAATTCAGACGTAGTTCTAAAACTAATTGTTGGACACACAGCGGTTGGTCGCCGAACTGAAAAGCGTACAAGTCAATAGTGCCCAGTAGTGATGGTATCCATCCATGCTTCGCGTTCTCCACCTTGCATTACACACGGCGGGGTATCTAGTGCCCCTCATCAAGTTGGTACACGTTCCCACATTCAATTTATCTCATCGCAATGCGACAACACTGTCCACCGTCACTGTCGACAGACGGCGCTCCGGGCGACAATACGAAAATAATATCTGAGCATCTGCAACTCGGAGTTTGATTCCATGGACGCCCTGTATTCTACTCCTAGATCCGTCCGTGCATTGCTGTTATGGCTTTCATGTTATGTTACCACATGCTCCAGTCCAGTTGCATTGTTCTCTTGGCATTTAGTAGCATCGTCAGCTTTACATTACTTCGTATCTTCATCGTCGCTTTCTCATATGCACGTATCACACATGTACATTGATCATACAATCTGCCGATACAGGTCGGTTTGTACTGCCTAGCAATGTATTTATTACTTTCGATTTCGGGGATTTATTTACAATAAATGATTTTGCGTATATTGATTCATAACGTCGGCCTTTTCGGGCAATCTCTCATCGGATTCAGGTCGGAATCCTGTTTCGGGCGGCGTCGAGCCTTGTAGTCTAGTACAAGTAATGCGTTCAACGAAGTTCAAGAATAAGTACACGGACCCGACTCGAACGTGAGGCCGAGGCCGACCTTCGTTACTTGTAAGCTGAGCCGAATCTAGCAATATATAAGGCTATAATCGCTCCTCGCGCTTATTTGTTTCGCTAGTGGCCACTGGCAGATACTCGAGGCCTTCGAGATCTTGAACATGGTCGGTACATGGAGTCCTATGCGTCTAGGTCTCAGCCAGAAAGTGATTCGCGCGTTGAATACACACGCTCTTCACCATAACGTAGCGGTTCCGCAGTTGAACAGATCCTACTTATATGGTGAGACTCATATAACAAGGGGATCATAGCTGTTCTGACTCGTACTGACTACGTAGTTCCAACGTCGTCCGATCGTATGCTGCAGAAGTCCCTATCAACCAACACGGATATCATTATTTATGACTTAGAGGATAGCGTCCCTCCGTCGGCTTCGGACAAGGATAATGCTCGTGAACGGCTACGAAATCTGTTCAGCGTGCGTATCATGGGCGGCTAATTCTTCAGAAAAACTAACTACCGACAATACCAGAGGCCTGCTGCAGAGCTCCCTCGGCCGGAGCGCGTTGCTGTACGGTTGAATTCCATCAACACGCCGTTCTTCCAGAATGATATTGCACAGGCTGTATGTGATCATACTCGGGTGGGTTTCGCTGCTGGTGCTCACTGAAATCAAGCTCAGAATACCCTCAATAAGGACAATTGTAATGCCTAAAATCCATTCCGCACAGGACCTACATCACGTCTCCCGTGAGATATATGCGGCGACACAGTTTTATGGTGTGCGTAATCCACGGGAGCAGCCTGTTTGCATTGTTGCGAGCATTGAGAGTGCAAAATCGATGATTAATCTTCGAGAGATAGCTGCATGGCAATCTGAGCATGGACCTGTGTTAGGTGTGACATTGGGAGCGCTGCTTGTATGTGGTCATCTCCACAATATGTTAGAAGCATCTAATCTTTTTGTTTCAGTTTGCTGCAGAAGATTGTGAATATCTTGGTTCTAGTATACTACATTGTAGTCTGTAAAACTGAGTGTTGGCCCTTGTTAGATTGTGCAGACACTTCCATAATACGGACAAAGTCGCGTCAAGAACTGCTTTACACTCGGTCGCAGATTGCCATAACTGCGAAGGCATTTGCTTTGGACGCTATAGACATGGTAAGATGAAGCTTCTCATGGAACGGGAGACAACGCTCATACGCCGTTACAGGTTTGCGTCAATTACAAGGACCTAGATTATCTGAAAGTGGAATGTGAAGACGGACGACGGTTAGGTTTCAATGGCAAGGTGCGTAATTCGTACTCAGCGGATAATCGTGTTATAATGTTCAACTCTTACAGCAAGCCATCCATCCTACTCAGGTGGACATCATACAATCGACGTTCGTTCCTGATCAGAAGGGTATGGACTTGCGACTTCTCACTCCAATAAGTTTCCGAAATTTGTTTTTTCTCTCTCTCAGAGATTGTACGGGCAGCGAAAATCTTGCACCGAATGAAGCAAGCGCACAGCTCTCAAAAGGGCGCTATAGGGCTTGAGCTAGAAGGAGGTGGGAAGGAGATGATCGATGCACCCATGATTAAGCAGGTGAGCTTGGCGTGCATCTCAGTATATAGTTGTCTGATAAACGAGATCGCTCTAAAAGGCAGAAAATGTTATTCGGATTGCGCAAGCTGCTGGACTGAAGATCCCTGATGTAGAGTGATGCCTAATTTGACAATCGTTACCTCAATGGATCCCTTATTAATATTAGGGAGTAGATACTTATGATGTTATTGGCCAATATTGTATAGGTCCAAGTCACATTGGACAACGGGAAAAGATATATTTCTACACGGCACTTCCGGCACAGTTTGCGGCGCGCACGGTTCAAATTGAGAGCATGATCAGTACATGAGCCGAGCCTTCAGATAGTACTGATATTATATAGCTGCTGAGCAGAGACGGCTACATATGCATCAGAGATGGGCATGCACATACGCAATAGTAGCCACACACCACATCATAGTCAATTTCAAGTTCAATCTCAAAGCTGCGAGTTCAGAATCCGTCCGCCTCGATCGTCTGTTCATTTCAAGCTCCGACCTACGGACTAAGTTACCATTTTGGGTACAGCTCATTTCTAGGCCACCTTGCGGAGGGACAACCTGTGTCTTTATTCCGCGCACTCTATTCACTACTTTTTGTCGCCACTCCTCCTTTCATTATGTCTGTCTGTCCACCATATGCGCCCTTCTTTGGGTTTGGGGGGGTAGCATCTGCCGTGAGTAGCAGCGTATTATCTGCTTGTGAAGACAGCTAACATATTGTATGGCAGATGATCTTTAGCAGTGGGTACCGTCTGAACGTGCATGAAGTGCTGGAGATTGCTAATATGAAATGGCGTTGCGTAATCATCGACTTCATTCAGCTGTTGGCGCAGCGTTTGGGACATCGAAGGCAGGCATTGGAATTGCAGGACTTGGGACATTCAAGCCTGAGTTAATCATGAAGGTGTGTTCAGCGTATTGAGAGACTGAATTCGTCGTCTTACGTTTTGTCATCACCTTTTCAGTCTCTCATTCCGGTGGTCATGTCCGGCATCATTGCAGTGTATGGACTGGTCGTCTCGGTGCTCATCGCTGGTGGACGTGAGTTCATTGTACATGATCTCTAGCTGATAATTCACCCATGTCCTATTCTGAAGTACGACCGAACGATTACTCCTTATACGCTGGCTTTATCCACCTAGGTGCTGGTCTTGCTTGTGGGCTTACTGGGCTAGCCGCCGGCTACGCCATCGGATTTGTAGGCGATTCGGTACGTTGGCGCTGTCATTGATGATGTTTTAATCTTATTCCTGGTACGACGCATAGTGCGTACGTGCATACGTACATGAATCAAAAGTATTTGTGGCCATGGTATTGATCCTGATCTTCGGAGAGGTGTTGGGACTGTATGGGTACGTGAAGCGACGTTCTACCAGCGCCCATGTTATGCTGATTTTTTGCGTAGACTGATCGTGGCTCTTATCATGAATTCTCGAGCAACGGAGGCACCATCATGTACATAATGCTTGTTGTAGATTCCAAGAATTCGTGGTACGGTGGCTTTGCTACATGGCACGGACGTATGAGAGATGCATCGTAATTACATGCGTCATTAGCATGTGCTTACGGAGCTTCTCGGGCTGCAGACTTTTATGAAGTCAGTTATTGTAATCAACTGGAGTTCAACGTTCCGGTGTCCATCATCATAGCCTAACGTTGACATATTTAAGAAATAACGAGGATGATGACTCGTTTTCTCCTGCGACCGTGAGGTTGACTTCAAGTGCCGCGCGGATACACATGGAACGTATGTGTTATGCTCCGTACTTACGTCGCTTCCATGCACGGGTTGTGGCAACTCGCCAAAAAAAGTTGAAGGCGGTTATTTCAGTAATATTGCATCCAGAATTACACAAAGAATCATACACATATGACTAGACCGAAATCTCAAGGATCATCGCTGTAATTAATTAATGGTATCGCCTCCTACTCTTACTAGGACCTCGGCTATCACTTCTTGCGCGTTGAGAACTACGTCCTCTGTGCTCTTTCGAGGACTCACTGCCCGAAGACGAACGAGAATCGGAATCGGTATTCGACTCTGAGTCAGAAGAATCGCTGTCACTGTCTGAATCCGAGTCAGTGTCGCTCGAACTATTCGAGCCGGACTCTGATGACCTTTAGAATACAGCGATAAGTGAGTGATACGTATGTGATCGACTTGGACATACCGTCTCCGTTTCTTTCGGCCGTCTTGGTTCTCGTCTTCTTTCTCCCTTGCCTTCTCCTTTGCCTCCAATATACGATCCGCTGTCCCAGTCCTTCGATGCGTAATGTCAATAGGGGGACATAGATCCAGATCAAGACACCAACTTCTTCGTGAATTCCTCTGGAACTTCAACAGAAGGTTTTCCGTCTGCTTTCAGCTTCGCAAGCACGCGTGGGTTCTCCAATTGCTTTGTACGTGAGGGACGTGAGATATATGGACGCGAAGACTTGCATTCATAGGTGAAATGACCTGAAATCGAAACATCAATTTAGAGTGCTTCGAGTTGCATACATCATCCTGTTTGTCGCTCACCTGTCCCCAAACATTTCTGGCACACAGTAGAGGCTGTGGGGCGAGGATTATTGGCGGAACGACGATGTGGAGCGAATTTAGACATGGACCCAGTAGAGGCGGGTCGATAATAGGCGAGGTCGGTTGAAGACTTGTCTCCGAGTCAAACGGCGCGACTTCAGCTTGATCTCAGGTCAATTTAGACGCCAAAGATCTGGTAAGTACAGTGGCTGGAAAGTTGACCCCAGGTCCCTTTCCCTGATACGCTTCCGAATCCACCACTGTCACAGCATTAATTCCCCAAGAAATGGGCGGAAATGCGTTCAATCAGACTCTTTCCTCTGCCATCTTCCCTCGCATGTCACCTGAATGCTATCAGACCCTGAAAGCTGCTCTCCTTCCCTACGTTCAGCCACTTTACGAATTAGTCGCCGTCCCAAACGAAGCTCCAGGAAAAGCCGATCATGGCGATATTGATTTTGTGGTTGCTCATCCCAAACCTGGGACCTCCTTGGAATTAGTGAGACAAGCGTTGAAGGCGACTCATAGCCTGCTGCAGGAGGGGAATCGCACCAGCAACTTCGCAGTCTCGACTACTGCCTTTGATCATGTCTATCGTGCATCTGAGCATGGTAGAGATGACTTTGAAACATTTTACCAGGTTGACGTGAGCGTATGTGCGGATAAAGGAGAGTGGGAGCGCACTGTGTTCTTACATTCATATGGAGACCTTGGCATGATACTGAGTGTACTTGCGCGAGCCGCTGGTCTTTCTCTTAGCGTGCACGGGTTGAAGGTGAGCCTTATGCCTGCATATAATGCATACTGCTGCTGGAGATTAACCACTTGTCCCTTATAGCTCCTCGCTCCTCTCCCTACGAGTCCTCCAGTGACCTTTTATCTGTCATTCTCCTTATCCCAGATTCTCGAGTTCTTCGGGCTTTCCCAGGACAGGTGGACAGAAGGTTTTGCCACAGAGCAAGAAATATTCGAGTGGATCGCTTCTTCTGTTTTATTCCGTCCGCATACAGTCGCACCCGCGGACAACGGCCACACGGCGGGTCGAAACGGTCGGAAGGTGCGATTCATGTATCAGAATTTTCTGGCGTATGCTCGCGACCTTGCTCATGCGAGGCCGGCCGCGGCACAGCCGAGTGTCGTAGTCAGCCTTTCTGAGGGGGTGGCTCGGTCTCCCATACGTGCTGGCATCACCGCGGACGACGCGCTCCGTTTCTTCAGAAAAGAGGCGGAACATGCCGCCCTCATTCGGTCATCAGATATCAAACAACACGCGAGGGAGGTATTCTCCGGTAAACTCCTCGAGGGATGGACGGGCATGCGCGGGCTGCCGGTGAAGTGGCTGATGGATACGGCACGAGAGCGGTTGGAGCAGGCTCACGCGCAGACTCGTCCTGAGGATTACAGGAAGGACGTTTCGCAAACCGTAATTTTCGGCCATGACCTCCTTGGGAAGGAGCCGTTCGTCGTCTCCTCCTGGGAGCTCGCTCTGTGGTCGATGTCTATGTCCGAGGTACGTTCTTTCATTCTGCAGATTCAGGATGACATGACACGAGCTGGTACCTGTGAACGGAATTGGGAGAAGGAGCGATCTCGGAAGGCTAAGAAACAGGTGTTATGAGATGCCACACGTGTATACATTGTCATTAAATCCAAGGAACTGATATTCACCTCACATCTGGCTTCAGAATCCATAATTGATAAGGTGCTAGTTAGTGGCGAAGTCCCAGGATCAACCTAGGACCAAGTGTACGTAGCACGCTGGTTCGATAGATATCCCACAATCAGTAAGGAGCTTACTGGAGTGCGTAGTGCGTATCGTATCTCCACCGTCCTCAGCTTGAGTCACGTCGCGACTGGATTTCTCCCAGTATACTAGTGGCTGCTGACATGTTGCTCTCCCCTATCGCTGTCTTCGGGCTATTGATTTGCTTTCAAATCTGTCCAGACATACCCTGAGAGATATTGTGGCCAATGTCTTAGGTGATGTCTTGGGTAATATTATGGCTTATGTCCTGGATCTACGCCTTGTTGTGCTACGTTAGATGGTAACCGGTCGATCGTATCAGGGTGCGCACTTGCTGAGAGGTGAGGTCTAAGACCCAGACGTTTCGGGAAATTCGCTGATTTTGCGGTATTTGTAGTATTCTTCCCATCAAAATTTGGGAGGGATTTTTTGATGTTGTATGAGAGGAACACCAAATGTTGAAATATTGTACCCTCGTTTGCAGGGAGTCGCACTTTCCTTCTTCGCAGATTATACCTCCACAATCGCGACCAGGTCGCGCAACTGGCGCATGTCATGCATCATCGCCGGCATTGGTGGAGCATGTTCAGTGTCAGCGTGACTATGCAATCAGCCCCTTCTGGACATTCACAACTAGAGTCGCGGGCAGGCTGAGAAGGATGGAGCGTCTAATCTTTTGGCGATATACCCCCAGCTTGAGGGCTCATCTAGTACCCAACGTACGTTAACGTTTACCACTCGATCACTCGCCTCACTCTCGACCTTGTCTTCTTCCCAGACCCTAGTCTTTGGGCGCCTCCTATATTCTCTGCCTACACTCGAATGACTTGGATGCTGAGGGGTGCGCTTTCGCAAGACTGATCCCGCGGATCCATCGTCAACTCTAGCGCCTTTAGGCCGTAGGAAGTTTAGGTACCTTAACATTGAAGGGGGCGTACATATTGGCCCAGTCATTGAGTTGCTCGACAGGACGGGATTGTGAGCACAATTGGAAGCGATATCTGTTGGCCACTGGATGTCCCTCCAGACGGCGTACATTGAGATATCAAAGTCACAAAGACTGCTTCAATCTACGGGTAATGTGATTCGCAAGTTGACCACATCGATACGCAGCCTAATGTTGTTTTCTATGACGCGTACGAGTATGTATGTCAAGGGAGTCAAGCTGACCTGGAGTGGGCGACCATCCCACTGACTGCTACGTATAGGTGTTCCCACTTGGATCTCACTCAATTCGTCTCGTCTTGCAAGCTCGCTTCCTAGTGGACGGTCGATCAATGCCTATAATTCTATCCGATATAACATTTCGGACCATCAAATACGTTCTCCTTGGCCTAGATGCCCGCAGAGAAGAGCTGCTGCGATTTGAGCCCGTTATGAAAACTCTATGCCGGAAGTACTGTCCATCGATGAGTGATGCATTGTCATCTCGGCCCAATCTCCAAGTCGCCGAGTGGAAGCTGTGTGTTTCTCGGACCAGTGCGCGCGTTTACGAGGAAGAATGGGCTAGAAAAACATCACCTGAAATTGCAGGATCGAAGAAGGATCTTGAGATATGTATTGTAGTCAAATACGCACTGAGGGGTTTACCTGTTTACTAGTAGAACCAGTGTTATGATCTTTGATGGTTTGCAGGCATATGATATCTGACACTGACTGCTCACCGAAGGAGACATAGCAAGAGCAGCCATCTGGTAAATGAGACGGTGGTGGATGAAGGGCTCAAGGCTCAATTTTATTGAGTACTCCCCGGGCGTTGTGTATAGCTTACAGAGGGTGAACCAATGCAAATGATTGGATAGAACGAACTCTACAAGGGGGTTGTCGGATGCGGCGGTCGGCTTGCGCAGAGTGCGGGTCGGGTCGGTGACACAACACGGACATAATTTAGAGTTGCGCTTGGCGTGTGCTGACGCAGTCACGCACCGGGGTCCGGCGCTGGGTGATGGAGACACGGAGGCTGCTTGACGCCTCGTCCCGGCACCATGCCTCACTCTCCCGCTTCATAAGCCTCCTCTCTTCCTCTTCCTATATACTCCACGGAATTATACCCTTGCACACAACTCACTCTACATTACCGTTACTGCCACATTCATCCTTCTAGCCACACGACCATGGCCCCACCAAACAAGGAAAAGCAGGCCGCCATCCTCCAGCAATTCCGGCATCAGCTGGAGCAGGAGGATCTCATGCATGATGACGACACTATCGGCACCGACGATGCCACTCTCCTGTATGCTCAGACTTAGATTCACAAAGTCGTTGCTTAACGTACATGTGCCAGACGCTTTCTGCGCGCCCGTCAATTCGACATCAAGGCAGCGACTACGATGTGGATCAACTGTCAGCATTGGAGGAAGACCGTAGATGGTATAGGAATTGACAAACTCTACAGGCAGCTTGATCCATACGACGTACGCCAGCTCTTCTTGTTACGTCCTTCCCTGTCTTACGTTCACACCTCATGGATCAGTACCCCGAGCGCGACAGAGTCTTCGAATGCTGGCCCTTGTGGTTCCATAAAACTGACAAGAGAGGCCGACCACTGAACATCCACCATTTTGCTGGGATTAACATGCCAGAGCTGTACAAGCATGTCACTCCCGAGAAGTTCTGGCAAACGATCGTTGTCAACGCGGAATCACTCACTCGAGAGGTGCTCCCTGCGTCCGCGCGGGCTGCCGGCCGGCAGATCGATGGGACATTTGTCATCGTGGACTTGCGAGGCTTTGGCATTGGTCAATTCTGGCAGATGAAGAATCTCGCGCGCAACTCGTTCCAAATCTCCCAGGACTACTTCCCTGAGACGATGGCGCAGCTCGCCATTATCAACGCGCCTGCGTCCTTCACGACGATTTGGTCATTTATCAAGCCATGGCTCGCGAAGGAGACTCTTGCGAAAATCGACATCCTCGGTTCAAATTATAAGGAAGTACTTTTGAAGCAAATTCCAGAGGAGAATTTGCCCACCAGTCTCGGCGGGACATGCACATGCGACGAGTTAGGTGGTTGCAAGCTCAGCAATGCAGGTCCTTGGATGGAGAACCGGAAGGAACGAAGAGAGAAATGGCTCAGAGGCGAGAGAAAGAGGATGGGGCTTGGGATGGAAGGTGAGGACGAGGACGACAGCGTCGCCGTTCAGCACGAGCTAGAAGAGGTCCGCAAACAGCAGGATGAGGTGGCTGAGCCGAACAGGCACGTTCCTAGCCATGAGTCCCCGAGCGATACGAAACAGAACGCGGAAGTTGAAATGCACACTGGCACTCGCACTGTCTATAACAAGTCGACAGAGGTTGTGGATGAGAGCGGAAGGACAGAAAAGAAGCTTGCCTCCGTGTCCCCAGAGAGCTCGCTAGAAAGTACGACCGGCCCGCATACGCCCACAACCGACCGCGACTCGGCATCTTCCTTCGAAGATGCTCGCTCGAGCTTCACAGAGGACACTCGCTCGAATCATTCGGCAGAAAGCAGGGGGAGCAAGGGTCGAGGGAAATTTAGATTACCAAAGCTAAAGCTGGGCAAGAAGAGCCGCGAGCAATCAGACACGGACTTGTACAAGAACCTTCCGGAAGCGAGAGAGGTACAGACGGACGACATAGTCTCGCGGTGAGCTGTACGATAAACATTTTGGCTGTGGGCCATTACTTGCACTTCGCGCGATATTTTTATTTTGGTAGAACGCAACCTCGTATATATACGTACCCCATCCCTCATTCATAAGTAGGTCGCATGTATCCTGTAGTCTACCGCGTGGTCCAAATTGTACGCAATAGTGTAGTGGACAAACAACGATCAAACTAATTGAAGAGAACGTATGGAAGATTGAATAGGATACTGAATGTACAGCGTCTCAGAATGTCGGGATATAGTCCTGTATCCTATCCCTGGCATCCTGCGCGATGCACTCTGCAATCCACGCCAGACTTCGAATCTCCTGCTCCTTCAGCTTCAAATATGCATAGAACACGCCATACTGAAATTGTTGCAGGAACGCCATCTTGTTCAAGTGGACCTCGTATGCAAAGAAACGATCCTCTAGTTCTCCTGCGGCGCCCAAGTCCTCCAGTCCGTCGCCATAGTCTCCTAATAGACGGGCAGTGCTCTCGCTAGCGCCGCCGTTCTGCGCACGGGAAGATCCGCCGGGGGACGATTCGAAGAAAGCTCGGTACTCGGAGACGCCCTCGCAAGCCTGGCGCACTTGCTCTACGTCGTCCGCGCGTGCGAGCGCGTTGTTTCCTGCGGGGAACAATCGACCAATAGCGGGGAAGAGCTTCGCACGGCGCTCCTTAGACAACTCTGTGCCGAACGAATTGATGGCAATGTTAATGGAGCGGCGGTCAGCCTCGAAGGCGAGAGTCCGCTGCATGACGTCGGCAGTAGGTCCACCAATGGAGGTGCAGAAAGTGTAAAAGTCTTCGAGGTAAGCTTTGTACAAGGTGTTACGGATGATCTCAATGTTGAGATCATCTAGGTCGGCTGCGCTGAGGCATTCTCGGAAGTACGGTGCTGGCGTGGTAACTCAGCGACAGTGCACGGATAACAAGGTATTCACGTACCGAGAGGTGTCTCAATAAGAGCAGTCCGGTACAGTTCTTCGACATTAGTTGCGACGCAGAGGGCAGGAAGTGTTTCAAACACTCCGAGTGGATGGCATCGCTCTAGAAGCTCCTGTGTGTTTCGTTCGTGCAGGGTTCCGGTAATGAGCAGGATCACATTGTCGATCATATACGCGTACCTGAAGCAATTTCCACAACATTGAGAACCGTCAACAACGACACTTGCACAAACACGCACGTTATGTAGTCAAAGAACTTGGACAGCGGTGCAACAGAGTTGCTACGAAGGTAGTTGAACTGGTCGACAAGAATCTGAGTCGCTTTGTCCGTGATGGTCGATGTTGAGATAGGCAATGGCTCGTTGGCGAGGAAATTGCCATAGTCCGTCGCTGACAGCTGGGTCCGGAAGTCTGTAAGGGATCAGGGCGATGCCTCCAACAGATAACAGACAAATACACGCCTTCAATCGTCTCGCATTGCGTCAAGTTGTTGTAATGGCCCTGGTTGAGAAGTCCTGCTTTGTATCCCCTGACGATGCCTTCGAGGAATCCAGCGTTCACCTAGCATGTATCCCTAAGTAAGTTGAGTATTTCTGCAGAGTTTTGACGAATTAGCTCGTACATTAAATAGCAGAGCTTCCATGATGATAATGAGGAACGCAGGAACGTGCTGCGGCTGCGACGAACCCGCCCTACTAGTACTTACAAGCTTCAAGCCTTTCAAGAAGTGAGCCAAATATCAGTGGAGGGGCTATTGCCATCTATGGTATCAAGGTTCGCACACCCCAATTCGATGCCCGACTCCTCCCCGAAGCTACAGGCCGTACTTAGCGGACCTAAGCGGCCTTCCTATTGACATGGCATCCGACCTATCCCAGTTCCTTTGCTTTAATATTTTGCGTATGTTGCAATAGCTTGAGCTTGTCCAGCGAACTCTTCAATAGCGCAACAGTCCTGACTACGCAAAGCTGCGAGATGGATATCACTTCCAAGAGGACGACCAAACTATCTGTGCCTCATACCTACGACAAAGAAGTCACTCTTGTTGGTACGCTCGAACAACTAGCACCTGATGAGCCTACGCAAGGGCGTAGAATCGCCTTAGTATGTCTATCAACCTACATAGGCATTGTAGCATGTCCTAACGGCTGGGTTATGCAAATCATAGATACTACACGGTTCCATGGGGTCAGTCGCTTACCGAAACCCGTAACGCAATCACTCATTTGGCACCAGACACAAAGACTACTTATTTCAGAAGCGTCTCGGTCTTAAGTTACCCATAGATTCCTTCCGTTTTGATTTCACGTACGTACCTAGCTATGTACTTACACCAGCTGTTCTCAACTACACTGATCCCAGTGGTAGCCACGAAAGCTCTGGACAGTGGAGACTGGGAAAAATAGAAGGGGACGCATTCGACATCCATGTTGTGGCGGAATATCTGAATCGACGATACGGGTATATGGTCGACCTGCTAGTCGGACATTCGCGTGGTAGTGTCGCAGCTATGATTTGGCTTTGTAATTATCCGCAAGCTGCGACCAGAAGTGTGAGGGGGTATGTGAACGTAAGTGGTCGTTATAGAATGCATGTGAGTGATCTGCTCCTTGCGATCATGTCGTTACGAGATCCTCACTCCGGCATAGCTATATGGTACTATCTCTCCACTGTCTAGGCCTTGAATAAGTATTCTCAATCCTAAGCAGAGGTAATCAGCAAACCAGAGCATCTGCATCAACTTGAAACACAAGGCTATTATGAACTCACGGGTGTCGTAGCGCGAAAGCCATTCTCAGCCAAGTAAGCTATTACTACGTAATCAGTCAGTTGCTGAGATTGAGCTGTCACGCGCTAGAGTCACCAGTGAAGATCATGCTGAATTTGCTGGCGTCAATACTTCAGTAGTATGGGATCGCTTTCCTGCAGGAATCGACGTGCTTACAATGCACGGCCTGATGGACGCGGTGGTACCACCGTACGTCTCTACTTGAACCCTTCGAATGCGTATCTGATGGTGAACGTCAGTTTTGATGCTGTGATATATGCACAAGCCTACGGCGCGCGTTCGCCTGGCACGCATAATTTATATTATGTTGAAGACGCAGACCATAACTTTACTGGGGTATGTCGTCTTGCAGATGCTGCTCTTAGCGTTTTCAAGTTGGACTTAAATTTGATCCAGATGGCGGATCAAGTTGTTGCCACGATTCGTGAATGGTTTGACATGCTAGAGCGTAAGGAACTTAGAACTGGCATTTGGCATACCGGTGTTAAGCCGAAATTGTAGCACATTAGTAATATCAAGTATACGCGTACATCATCTCGGATGGAAACATACCGGCCCATAAGGCAGGTTCGACAGCACACAGCGTAATCAAATGGAATGACTTGGACGTAGTGTCAGCGATCGTGATCAGATGCAACTCGTGAACGTGAAGGCGAGGAGATGGCCAGGCAAACGATACTTCACGGTTGTTCGACGCGAGCTGGGGTGGTCAAGGAGCAAATAGCCACACCGTGAAGGTTCTAGCATGCTGTATACCAAAGTATCGAAGGCCAAGACGTGGAAATACACATGCCCCGAGGGTTGGTAAGCCTCATTTCTTTTTGACTGTCTTTATCCTGACTCTTTCCTCCCCCACAAAAATCCCCTGATATTGATGGCACAATGAGAGCGGTTCGTCTGCAAGGCACTAATATTGCATACCTTGCCCTTATACGGTTCTGGTGGCCTCCACTTCCTGACCTTCGCCGCGAAGAGCCCCAACAAATGCTTGTCCGTGCAACTAAGCATGATCTTCGTCGGGAGTGGTACTTCGGCCTTGATGTGATCGGGAACGGACACGAAGACGGGATGCGAAAAGCCGAGCTTCATGTTCAGTCGCTGGCCGCTGCGGCCGTCACCTGCACCTCGTGGATCTGCTTCAAGTGCAGCACGATATCCTACACCAACGAGATACAGTGGCACTTTGAAACCCTCTGTCATCCCGACGATGGCGTTGTAAATGAGTGTTCGTGTGAGTCCCCACATGGACCGCTGCTTCTTCTCCGAGGCATCTGCGACAGTTAATGCGACGGTGTTCGTGTCTGTGAAGGACAGCTCCATATAAGGTTGGAGAGGAACAGATGTCGTGCCCAAAGGTCCCTGCACACAGAGGGCAGTGGATGACGGTGTCAGCGTTACGCCAGCTGGGAAGGATATTGGGGTTTTGCCAATGTTGGAGACATACGCCGCCGATGCAGACGCCGATGAGCTGAAGGAGCGCAATGCATGCTGGAGTTGTTGTCGGATGATCATAGCTTGGTTGTAACAGCTGAACTAACCTCAGGCTCACACTAGCAACCTGGACCAGGACACGGACGATGCGTCGTGACACAACGACGTGACAAGCGCGTCGAATACGTCACACTCACATAACACGTCCAAGCTGAGCGCTGCGCGTCGAACTTGATGAACGTTCAGTACAATCTAAGGTCTCTTGCAATGTCATGGTCATCAGTTGAGAAGAGCTGTTCATATTGTACGGATCCTCTATTGATTTCACGGCACTCCAGCATGGAATCCCCACGTGTAGAACACCGTTTTACATTCCGACGGGACTTCGAGCCCACTACCTGCGACTGCAACTGCAACTGCAACTGCTTACGACAAGGATGCGCCTACCAGTGTTGGGGCAGCACATACGCCGTTTTTCGTGCGAATTCTGTGAACGCTTCTTGTGACAGGGTTGATCCATGCAGCTTCCTTTGTTTCCAAAGTAGTAAACCCTGGAGAAATTTCAGGTAATCACACACAAGATCGGGATGTAGCTTTACTACGACGAACCTGGCTGTATAGTCTCAAATATTTTCTTCTTCGGATTCAACTGAGATAGTGGTGTCGCATCTGCCATACGATAAGTATGAACCAAGCAACGATAGAAGGGAACCCACCCTCAAAATCCGGCCCTTCAAAGTAAACCTTGTCTCCAGGTTTTGAATCAGGAGGCGGTCGGATGAGCTCGATACCGCCCTCCTTGCCATCTTTGGAGGTTGCCTTAATTTTATTCGTGCGTTAAGAGGGCATATGCTTGAGTCATAGTAAACTTGAACGTACGCATAGTACCATGGCGAAGCTCTTCACACCACGCATGCTGGCAGGTTTCAAGTTGCACTGTTCAACCCATAGCTTCAGAAAAGGCAAGTGCTGGCGTAAAGCATTCAAACATACCACACCGACGAGTAACCTGTCACGCATCTCCTCAATGGGGATGTAATTCACAAGGCCCGATACTACCGTTCTTGGTCCAGTCTCCTCGCCGAAATCAATTTGCTAACAGAAATGAGAAATCCAATCAATGGAAGAGCTGGAATTCAGTGAGCATTTATCATACCTCAACGTACAAACTATCCGCGTCTGGATGCTTCTCGACTGCGGTCAAGACAAGACTAGTCAATTAGGAGGTAGAGGCCATCTTGAGATACGTACTGTCAACAATGTGTCCCACTCGAAGATCGATCATGGAAGGGACAGGCTCCCCCGCCCCTTCATCTGCAGCAGACGAACTACTGTTACCACCTGCTGCTTTCTTCTTGCCCGTATCTACCGTTCCCTCTTGTGTTTTTTTCTCCTTTTCCTTCTTCTCCTTTTTGGGTACCTTAGCCGCGCCCCCCGCTATCTTGCCGCTTTTCTCGACGGCAGGAGCAGGAGCAGAGGCCTCTTTACCCTTCTTCACCCTTGGAGTCACAGGTACTGATGAAGCCTCTTCCGATACATTGCTGGCTATCGCTTTCTCTTTCTTCTTTGGCGGATCAGCTTTCCGCTCGGCTTTGGGAGTATTTTCTAGGTCAAACGTCACGACCGAGAAGGCGGGAGAAAGAGCGGATGCTGCTTTCCTCACTTGAGGCCGCGATTGGATGTGATCAAAAAAGCGAGTTAATGCAGGATAAGAGAAATATTGCGGTGCTTGCAGTTGCGACTGTCAGTCTAACAACATCAGCAGAAAAACTTGGCTTTCGTGACGCTATCATTACTCACGTATACAGAGTGCAAAGCACCGTACAATGCAGTGTCGGCGGCAGTCAAGTAGTTGCCGACAAGATATGTACGAGACAGCAGCAGACTGTCCAGATCCTGTAACAGAATATCAATGAAATGTCACGCAGTGAATACACATGCCTCATTCCTTCAGATTCTGCGGCTCGGTGACATCTCCCTGTGCTATCTTATTGAGCCATTCAGCTACTTCGACCTTGTCCTTCTCGGTCTTTCCAAGCTCAGTACTCCCGTCCAACGTAATTTGGGACACCAGATCTCCAAGTGGTGTGGGTAACTTAGCAAGCACTACTGTAGAAGTCATAGTCTTTGTCCAAGAAACGGTTGAGAGGTGAAATGAATAAACTCTACGTTGTAAGGATTGAGTTAAAAACATTTTGAACAAGGACATTTGGATAATATCATGTGTCCTCGAGCGCTCTCACGCGTTTATCGATCGATGTATGACGCAAGTGAAAGTCAACTTGAAGCAAAAGCGCACTATGTACCGAGACAACAATCGGGCAGCCATTGCTACTAAGTTCTAGATGCACAATGGTAGCTTGCCTAGGCCTGAGGAACTTATCTGAATTAGTCCGTCCTGGTCCTGTACTGATTTCTAGCGAGGTGACATGTGAAGCCGCTACATGTAGAATCGGAGATTCTGAGCTAAGAGCCTTCTTAACAGAAATTATGCAATTACAGACAGCGATACGCCTGCTAGCAGCTACATACTGTAATAATAATCGATGTGACAACCACAAGCATTCATTAAGCATAAAGTATGATACTGTGTAGGAACGTTCACCTATTATTCGGCTGTGGAGGTCGCTGCTGCGAGTATATAGTCCGTCCAGGTGCGTCCGTCATGCCATTACCCCTAATACTGTTGACCGCGATTCGGTGATCTTCGATATATGCGCTCGCGGGATCAGTGTATTGAGGTGGTGACCATGAATCATCGGAGTGTACGCCTGAAATCGAATGGAGCGTAGCGCCATCAAGTCGAGTGTTGCGGGGTGCAGCTGGAGAGCTAGGTGGCGGCAGCATCGCGCCCCACGATGTAGGCGACACCCCATTCTGATAGCCATTTGAGGGTGCGACTTGCCGGGTGTCTGATACTCGGGCTGACCGGCCTCTGATTCGCGCACTACTCGGCCTAGTGACCGCATTCGTGCTGACGCCATCGCTATCGCCTGCGCCATTCGTTTGGTCATTCTGACTCCATCTTCCTCTGCTGTCTCGCTGGCGGCGAGAACTACTCGCGCTAGCTGATCCGTTCGTTTTTTCCCGGCCGTTCGTCTGACGACTCCTATTGGCTTTAATTTTTGGATGTTGTGAAAGACCTTGAGAGGCGGATGAAACAAGAAGCGTAGATTGAACCACCGCAGGCGCTATTGCCGGATCATCGTCTGCAAGCTCTTTTGCTCTCGTTGCTCTTAGCTCCAATGCTTGCGCCAGAGTCATAGGAGGGGGTATCATGTCTAGCAGATATGAGACAAAATAAGTTTACAAATCAAACAGTAGCATACCATTAAGGAATGTGAATTCCGGATAGTTTCGAGTGACAGACGCTGGAGAGAGAAGCTGTTAAGAGCAGTGAGAATCCCTAGGGAACGGACGAACCGACGTCACGATAAAGTACCACCGAACGTCGAGAAGAATTGGCTATACGCTGGCCAGCCTCCGCTAGTCGCTTCACAAACTCTTCCTGACCGACAATAAGGAGTTGTATGACATGAATGTTCAATGGATTCGACTCACGGTGGCAACAGAGAGCATAAATAACGCCTCCTTGGACATATGTCCACCACCACCTACAATTCATAGCATACATTGTTCACAATGCATCGTTAATGAGGGTATCAGAACGTACCATCGGCATGTAATATATTTTCGACACGCGAAGTTGGTATGAGGGTGTGCCCTGGAATGCGTTCTCCAGTCTTCCGTGGACGTGTCTTGGTGGAAGGATTCGTGTCGTTGAAAGGCACTTCGTCCTCGTCATCGAGGTCCGAGTCCAGTTGATCAACCTCTTCCTCATCTTCGTTGTCAACGTCATAGGGGAAAATGGGGTGTAGCCCGGATATCGAAGTAGAACCCAGGGCCATTCAGTGAACCACTGAAAGGGACTTTATGGGTACGAGGGGGATCAATCGCGCGGGAAGGGAGCTGAATAGGGAAGGGTAGTATGCGCCAGTGCGGCGTACCGTGGCGAAGTTGAACAAGGCTGTGGAAGTCCTCCAGTCGGTGGCCCTGCGCGGATGTAACGCCGTACCCGGTCACGGTACTGCTAGAGGCTGGCGTCAAGAGCATCATGATCATGATCTACTGCCAGGATTCAGTCTTTAGGACTCGAGCTCAAGATTAGTGGCATTCACGTTGCGTTGCTGAGCAGGGCCGAGATCAGTCAGAATATTTATATAGAGGCGTTTCCCCCGAGAAGTCATCATCATCGCTAAGAGTACGGTGAACATTGAACAAGAGCTTTCAACGGAACTGATTATGTGTCGCGATTGACCTCCGGCTCAATTTGCACTTAGCGCTCGAATTGTACAGATGCACACATTGGGGTTGAGTTAGCATACAAATGAAAGAACGAACAATCATACAGCTGAGTAGCTGCAACTGGACAAACTATGTACAGCGCGAGTGGGGAGATATCATACAATAGAACTGAGGATGACCGCCTACAAGGGGTAAGACATGAGGAAATTTCGATCCGTAAGGCAGCCAAACTTCAACCCTTCCAGGCTTCATCTCGATATCCGTCCAATTATTCATTCAATAGGGACTTGAACTGTCGCAGGATCCTCAGCCCTCGAAACGGTGATGACAAGGACCCCATCATTCAGCTTAGCCGAGACATTGCTTGTATCAATTGGGCGCGGAAGATACACAGTCCGCGAAAACGAAGAGGTGCCAGTAAACAGACGTTCTGTGGAGAGTTGCGTCTGTTCAGGCCTAGCGGCCACAGCTGTCGCCCCTGCAATGCGATGTGAGATACAATTTAACAAGGCTTAGATCGGGGAACATAAACCTTCACCAGATACTGGTTCTGCTGCCTCATACGAACTAGAATTTGCTTGTGCGTCCGTGGGTTGGGGCTCGGTCTGACGGCTGACAGCTTTCCCTTCGATAGTGACACTCCGGCCACTGTCGCCGACACGAACCTGGATGTTCTCCTTCTTGACGCCTGGGATTTCCGCCTCAATTACGTACTTGTCGCCTTCCTCGGAGACATCGATGGCGGGCTGCAAAAGAGCAGGGGAGCGGAAGAAGGGATCTTCGAGAAATGAGCGGTGCAAGCCTCCATATGACGGAGGGCGCCCGAGGGGCTCCTCGAGCATACGGAATAAAGGGCGCATCTCGCGGAAGAAGTGGCGAGCAAAAGACATTGTGAGCGTAGTGAGTTCAGGTTTCAGAGACTGCGTTTGCGAAAAGTACTTATAGCCCAAACTTCAGATCCAACTGCTTAATATTATAACATGATGCGCCCAGAGGACATCCAGATATAGCGAGAATGGCCTAGAAACCGCCAGTTCTGAGTCATCCGCCGCATTATAGGAGCAAAGATTGAGCAAAAGGTCTTCGTTGGGTCTTCGACCGTCGTTGCGTCAGAGCCCAAGCGCCTAGAAGTCTATCGAAAATTCGGGAATGCCCGAGGACTATCACTGGTTTACTGCGGCGGTGGCTATATGTGCAATTCGCGGGACCTGCTAAGGTGAACAATCTCGGGTGGAGTATGGGTCAATGGTGTAAAGCAATGATAGCATAATACCATAAGGAAAGGGGTAAAGGAAAACAAACATCAAAACGAGATGATTAGAAATACAGCGGTTCGTATGTTTATACAGAATAGACGGCTGAGTCTCTTCGAGACACGACACCTTAATAGGAGACATTTTGCGTTTTCGGCATTAGAGAGTCAAGGCCCACCAGGCCATTCAACTACCCACTGTGCCGATACGTTATGCTCCTGATCATCGTCGTCTTCAAATTTTAATTTGTATATTTTCGACACAGTGCCATTCTGATGATGGAATCAGTACCAATCAGAATTTCATTGGGGGTTAACGTTAACTCACCCGCCCGGCCGGTTGCATGTCACTTGGGCTGGCAACTACTTCCGCCCGGTAGAAACAGCTGGTATCCGGATAGAGTGCCATCACAGTTGAACCGGAAGAAAATTCCGGGTACGCATTCAAGTGGGCAGCGCTATCGGGAGGGGAGTTGAGATCCGGAAGTGGGATTATTGCGCGTAGTGTTGTATTATAACACCTGCGGATAGTAAAGGGTGAGCTTGAACCAAATTGTGCATAATCGATCAAACGGACTGCCCAGGTTGCCCGTCTTCCTGAGGCTCCGGATCTTGTACTTCGTACCTGCAGTTCTAATGAACGATCTAGATCCGGACTGACAGACGAATATTGGTCAACCTATTCTTATCCTGATTAATACATTTCGTGACAACGGCCAATATCCATTCTTCGTCCTTTCCACCACTTGCACTATCGGCTGCCTTGCTAGAATTCTGTGGCGGATGGAACGCTACTTTTCGACCCTCTTGCAGAGGTAATTGTTTTGCAAGTGCTTCTCGCCTTGCCTTCGGCTCACGAGAGAATGGAATGGAGGGCTGCGGACCCACTGATGTTCGAGGAGGTACTGTTATAGACATCGTGCGAACTGTCGAGCTTTGAGGTACCGGCGTAGGTGTAGGGATTGTCGGGGGTGAGTGAGCTCGTGGGCGTTTATTTCGTTTCTCTTCGAACAAGCGTTAGTAAAGTAGTACAAAGTAAGCTACTAGTATCAGACCTGGAGGATTTGTCTCGGATGCTTTGCGGAGTGCTATTAAAATTCCAATACTTTCAATAACCTCTTCGATGGCACTATACAGTACCTTCAGTTAGGTTCTGCCAGGAGTAAAAACTCTGAGTTTACTCTGCATCACGTTCGGCCGTAGCTTTGATTTCGTTAAGCCCGACAAAAAGCTTTTTGTAGACGCTCCTGACGTTGTCATATCCCTCGTCGTCGTCGTCAGGCCATCCTTTTATAAGTCTATTTATCCTTCCAATTGTCTCAGTGGTTTCTGTATGGCTGTACATGGCCGAAAGACGAGATAACGCTGTCGCCGCATGAGACCAGTATTCAACCTCTGTGCTCATTGTTATTATTCAATAGTTCTGCGTTGAAAATGATGAACCTTTGCAGCACACCTTCAGATGAAGCTGGCCGTTTCGAAGCTCCTCGCCTACTTGTCATACCGCGGAGTATGGGATGCACTGGGACTAATTCGAACGGGACAGATGATGGTCAGAGCCAGGAATACATCCAGCCACATCGCCGCATTTCGATCTTGTGCTTGATCAAGCTTAGATTCGGATCTCATTTGATGCTGGTCACGTGCCAATTTACACCCTTATGCCACCACTTCCGGCAGAGTTGCTGAGTCTGGGTCCCTTTTGCTTAGTATCTGCAGGCGTGCAATCTGAATTGCTAAATATGAGAATAAATCACGCATTGTAAAGTAGGACAACCAGTACATTCTTCTCGATCATTTCGCCTCGCAAAACATCATTGGAAGCAATATCCACCACTACACTCTCCCAGACGATTAGCGATAGGCTCATAGCACAATACGTATAGTTACACTGAAGCCGGATCTCCACTAGCGCCTGACGGTACAAGCCTCCTGAGAGACACGTCGTACACAACTAGAGATGTTGGGGTAAGATGACAATGTCTCAGAAACGACGTGCTTGTCACCTTCTTCGATCTTCTTTATATCATACTTTAGACTATCGTATCTACGGCGGAGCGTATCATTTTTGAGATTGAGCTAAGGAGCGCATCAGTATGAGGTTATACCTATACTTCATGAAGGTGATGATATACCATTGCAAATCCAGCGAATAAATCCTTCACAAAGATCGATATTTTGATAGGCTGTTGAAAATCTCCCAAAGTAACAGAATTCACTGCTAGACGGGACTAAGGCGACTTTCGGTGTTAGGGTTGTACGAGTCTGGGCATGCATCCCGGTTATGACACACCAGTTCGTTTATCACGGATATAAGACCATGCAAATAGTCTTCAGCACTCAAAGTGAACCTGTCCGACCATTCTTCTTTAACTAAACTCAACGAGGCTGTTAGCTGATACTATGCAGTACATTGCCAACGTAATATATGCTCACTTCCAAGTATCTGATTCGCCTGAGATAACGACAGGAGCGAACCACTTCTCAGAAATTCGACGAGTGCAGCAGAGAAGACTGCATTTCTCAAGGAAATAGACCACATGTCTTTCCATCTCCAGAACTGATTCTGGGGAATAAGGTCTGCGAGAGCGGTGGTGGTCTCCTGGCAGCTCTCTAGGACAGGGGTCACAGAATCGAGTAATTTAGGGACTAGAAAAGAGTCAAATAGAATACAACGCGGAAAAACTTTGCCACCTACTTTGTTCAGCTGGAGTTGAATGAATCTTGTTGAGCATACCACTCAGGATACGAGTTTTCCTATCGAAATCGGCGACCTGGTCCTTGATTTTCTGATGAACAACTAGTGAAGGCGCTTGACTTCTCTTAGCTTAACCGATGTGTACTTCTCTGAGCTCGACATCTTTGTCGAGGAGCTCGTTTATGTATTCGAGATTATGTGGGTCCATGATACTAGTGAATAGTCAATGATGTGACGTCTGCGCCACCGTGATGGACGCGTCCCGGCTCGCCGTAACACTGTGACAGTCGCGCCGAACGCGTTTGTGAAGTCTCTCCAGTGCCTCTCTCTCCCCTTCGGTATCTCGCCACTGCCGCACAACCTTCACAGGTCTGTGAAAGGCTTAATTCTGCATAAAGCGACACTACGAGTAGTGACAGATTCCTTTTCTTCTTCGCATCGGAGCGAATAGCGTTTTGCCTGTGCAATCCGAGTCAAGGGCCACATTGTCGATGCCATTATCTGCCACGGAAGTGGCTATATCGGCTGAGCTCACGAAGTTACGAGAATCTCCGCTCGCTATCCCATCAGAAGCTACCCTCAAACTTCTCTCTGATCATTTACTCGGGCGTCCTCACACTACCAATGTGTTCTCGCGGCCATTCACACATTGGTTCTGCGTTCGGGCTGACGCTATCACGCGTGAAACAGCAGCCTTTCTCATTCGACTTCATGCATATAATGACCAATCCAATTCAGTGAAGTTGTGGAGGCAACAATTCAGAGCATGTCTAGCCGGGTGTTGCGAATGCGTGAAGGGATTCCAGGAGGCCAAGGTGACCACAAGGCATACGTGAGTAGCCCATTCTATATTTGAATATGTTCATAATAACGTGTACTACAGATACTTTGGTGCGTTCAGTGATTCCACATTGCAGCGATTCTACGAGAGTCTCGATGGCTGGGAGGTCGAATCCGTTCTGGCGGCGCTGTCGGAAGTACATATTGCCCCGTCAGACTCCCGTAGCGGTTTCGAAAGGAGTTTGTCGATGGCACCACCTGCTGTCGTATATCATATCTTCACGAATCTGCGTATCATGGGAGACCCCAGCGTGGTTAATGTTCTTCATACCTTCCCCCCGAACACGTCTATTACAGAATGGCCTTCAGATTGCCCTCCTCCCGGGTTGTTTTACGCGCTCCTGGCCGAGCAACCAGAAGTTAGAGCTTGGGCCGAGAGTCAAATATCATCATACCAGTTGACACCAATGCCAGCAAAGGGCTTTCTGCGAGAACATCGTGCCATACTGGAGTCCGTCAGCAAGGTTGTATCTACGAGAACTACGAGCGGGGCGGCTGGCGGAGAAACCCCATTTCCACTCGTGGACGAAGCCAATATCCTTTGGTCGAACTTCCTTCTCATTCTGCGCCTAATCCCGGTACCGTTTCTACGTCCCGGGAAGTCATACGACTTAGACATTCGCCATCTTGTGATTGGCCATTTACACGACAGTGGTACTCGTCAGTATATTTTCCTTTTTTAGCTTTTGCTAAGCTGATGAAATGTCAAATCCGGTCGCTGTTGCTTTTGCCATCCACAGACTTTGTTGATGTTCTAAAGTGTTTCCTCTTACTTGTGAATCGACTTGGCTCTAGTATGTGGGAGGCGGAAGTGGTCGACTTTCCTCAGATTGTCTTCAATTCTATCAAGGATAATCCGCGCTATCTTGAGTCTTTGCAAAATCTTGGGGTGGTGCGAAAGGATAATTGGTATCTCAATTGGATAGAGGCATTTGTCAAGACGGTCGCAGATATGGTCGTGTTCAAGGAGATCCTTCCTATCGTAACGCATTTTTTAGTGGAGGAGTTACAGCATGAGCGATTTCAAGAGCTGCGGCCGGCCGCTATGACCATTGCTCTCAGAGTACGGTGATATTCATGTTGCATTGCTATATAGTAGTAGTAACTTATTTTTGGTCTCTAAAGGTACTTTTGGCTGTACTCGATCACGCGGACGAAGAAAACATGCCCCTCGAACGAATCCTTGTACAGGAGATCATGGATGTTCATACCGGTATCTTCGTATCTGTGTCATACGCACGGAAGTTTATGGACGACAAATGGGCTGAGGCACGCGCACTCACGCGGAAGCTGCTGGCCCGTTCTTTAACAGAAGATATCAAAAGCATATCGTCCGCTATCGTAGCTCTATCTAGATCTACCGCTGACCCATCCCAACTTCCTGCTTTGCACATCCGGGAGCAGATTTGGAAACAACTCTATGACACCATCCAACCTAGCGACCAAGAAGGCATCTCAGAGATCATCGCGGCTCTTGCTCAAATTGCACATATCGATGATTTGAAGGATTCTATTTTCGCGGACCGTATTGGCAAGTCTCCTCACCGTCAAAAGTATAAAGACCTTATCGATGGAGTAAACCAAGCTCTGGCTATGGTTCGCGACGGCTTCAATAATGTGGTCACTAGATTCATTGACCTCAGCCTCCCATCTGTCATGATCGAACTCTTTCGTAGGTCCGGAGTCGTGCGGAATATCATTATGCTTATGCTGTCTCCTGCGGAGCCTATACAAGAAGCGGCGCAAGCTCTTGTAGGTTCGGCGTACGATGTTGAAGTCCGCATGGACTGTTTTCGGGCAGCATTGGAGAATTCACCCGACGCTGCCTTGAATGGCATTTGCGACATGTTGGGGACCTTTACCCGTCACGCGCAAGTGGTTCCGGAAGCCTGCAGTCTTTCCAAAGCTTTGGCTCGCTGCCTGACAGACATCATCGATGTGCTATGTTCTGGTCCTGATGGATTGTTGCACAAGCAGGCATTTTTGACGACCGGCCTAGGTGACACCATTCCCAGTCAGCTGCCCAAGTGGTGGAGTCTGATGACAAACGCGCTGTCTGTGATCTTCTCAAGGACGCCTAGATGGGCTATTTTCTTCGACAACGCGGATATGGTTCTGTGGATGCGTGATGCCCTCATTTTTGGACGTGATATGCTGGCACAACGGCGGGTGATAGAGTCTGCAACCCTTGTGATCGGCCAGCGTCCAGACGATTCTCGCAACAAACTATCCCGGGTTGGTAAAAAGATGGTCGAGGACCTGCAGTCAGTAGTCTTTGAGCTGACGCGTTGGCTCCGTCTTACGGATGAGGAGCTCTTGCACCAATCGTTTTCTCTCCTAGAGTCGCTGCTCAAATGTTTCCAAGAGACATCGACTCCTCCGAAGAAAGAGGCACTCCAGAAAATCCAAAAGCACATAGATGATGGTCGCAAGAACGATCCTAATCGACCCCAGACTAGGCTGGATGCTGCTCGCTTGGCGAGACTCGAAGATGCCATCAGTGTCTTTGAAGACGACGATGAAATTCAGATCATTTCTCATCAGATACCTGAGGTGAAGATTCGAGGATCATCTGGCAAGGAGCGTGCGAGCATCGGTCTTGTCCACAAACCATCTGTCGGAGCTGAACGGCAATCGAAAGAGATTCAGCGCACCAGGTTTCTCACTAAGAACACATCAATCTCGAATTATTTCACCTCCAAGGATCAACAGAAACTGGTGTCGGAATCAGCATTTCCCAAGCTTGGCAAGAACCAGTCTACAGCGGTGGTATCCGTACAGAAGCCAACAGTCAGTGTGAAGGATGAGCGTCCCTCGACGCGACCCACGACAGAAGAGTCTGGTAGTGAGCGCGAAGAAAGCGACGATGACGAACCCGACACGGGGTTGGCGGAACTCTCGAAACTACAGCGAACACCAGTAGTCAAAAAGCCCGTGGAACGTAGGCAGGTAATGAGGCTCGACGCTCCTACGACGATACGAAATTCAGCGTTGACTCGGGTTCAAAACCGGGAGGATGCTCGGAGAACTCAGATGCGGCTCAAACCTGACATCTCCGGACTTCATAAAACCTTATTGTCATGGAATTACGATCATGAGGGGCCCAATCCTCCCGGGAACCCGATAAAGCTCGCTGCAGTGCCAGACCGTTTCACAGACGTCCATCATTTTCGCAATATAATGGAGCCATTACTACTGCTGGAATGCTGGACGCAACTGATCGAGTCTAAAGAAGAGGCGCAAGAGACTTACGAGTGTCATATAGGGAGCCGTCAGTTTGTCGATGAATGGGCTGAAATCGAGGCGTCTATCACGCAAATCGTCAAGAGGGATTGGAATCTCTCAGATGCGGATGTAGTTCTTCTTCGGCATCCCGCCAGCCGCCAGCCTGCTTTAGGGAAAGTACAGAATTACAGGGCGTCGCCTATGGGCATTCAGGTCACGATACGATGCTTGGCTCGCGGTGGCGATCCTGGTTTGCAACCCAATACCGTCTGGTTGCTAAGTAAAGTGCTTAAGTGAGTGTACCAAGCACCCAGCGTTTTTGTCTACTGACGCTCTTAATGGGAAACGCAGCCTCACAACACTCCATCGAGAATATGGTGCTCTGATGGCCTTGCCATATTACGATTCTTGTGATACTGTCTTGCGTGCCAATTTATCGCTGCCCAGCCCCTCAGATAGTAGGGAAGTGCAGACGACTATGAAGGCGTATAGTGTCAATGAACCACAAGCCAAGGCTATCCTATATTCGTTGAAGGCCGATGGATTTGCCTTGATTCAAGGGTGTGTGTGATGTGCTTGAATCTTGCAATGATGTTAATGTAATGGAACAGTCCGCCTGGTACAGGCAAGACGTCAACCATCTGTGGTTTGGTTCATGCCTTCTTGTCACGACGACCGAAGCCTGCTACTTTGGTAGCTGTAGGGCGGACTACAAACATGCCAAATAAGGAACCAGTCAAGAAGGTTCTGCTCTGTGCCCCAAGTAATGCTGCTATCGACGAAATAGCATTTCGTCTCAAGGAAGGCGTGTCCGGCGCAGGTACCCAGCCAGTCTCACCAAAGGTTGTTCGAGTCGGCACTACTGCTAGTATGAAAGCTGTCGTCAAAGACATATCCTTAGAACACCTGATTGAACAGAAGATCAACGCCAACCCTTCTATTGGAGGTTCAGCCGATTCCGGAAGTGATATCATGCGCTTACGTGCTGAGTTGGAGTCTGTCAAAACGCTGAGACAACAGAAGTTAGATGAGATCTCTAATATTCACGACAACGCTGCAAAGACCCTGTCATTGGAAGAGGAGGTCAAAAGGCTCAACAAGCAGAGATTCGCTCTCACCCAGCAATTTGACAAGCTGAAGGACAAGCAGAAGTCGGATTCCCGAACGATGGACGCGACTCGCCGACGATTTCGCACGGAGGTACTTTTGGAGGCTGATGTGGTCTGCAGTACCCTATCTGGAGCAGCATACGAGTACCTGGAACAGCTTGATTTCGAGCTGATTGTCATTGACGAAGCCGCTCAAGCGATTGAGCTCAGCTCATTGATACCACTGAAATATCGATGTAGGCGGTGTATCATGGTTGGAGGTACGCGAGCTAAGATAGTCAAACATCTCATCCTGACAATTCTAGCTCAGATCCACAACAACTTCCTCCGACAGTGAAATCGCAGGAGGTGGGTCTTATGCGCCTTTATTCATGACCCGGGCTGTGTGACTGTATAATCACTTTCAGGCGTGCAAGTTTGGTTATAATCAGTCCTTGTTCGTGAGATTTCAGAGGCAGCGACCTGAAGCGGTTCACCTCTTGAGGTGCTGTTGCATATTTGAGCTCTCATGACATAGCTAATACACCCTTAGCATTCAGTATCGTATGCATCCTGATATAAGTCTAGTGCCGAGTCAGCTCTTTTACGATAGGAAACTTCAAGATGGGCCGGACATGGCGACAAAAACCAAGAGACCTTGGCATTCAAATGAGAAACTGGGCACGTACCACTTTTTCGATGTGGCCGGTGGTCGTGAAGAAGCCGGCCGCAACCATTCTTTCATCAATCGGGCTGAATGTCAAGTGGCCATTGCATTATTTAATCGACTTCGTCGCGAATATTCAACATTCGACTTTGACTACAAGGTTGGCATCGTTTCCATGTATCGAGGCCAGATATTTGAACTACGGCGAATGTTCGAGCAACGATTCGGCGCGGATATCTCGTCGATCGTCGATTTCCATACTGTTGATGGCTTTCAGGGTCAAGAGAAGGATGTAATTATCTTATCGTGCGTTCGTGCTGGACCAAATGTTCAAACTGTGGGCTTCTTAAGAGGTAACAAAGCACACCCATTGGCACAGGCTTAAGCTGATGGATTCTGCATAGACATGAGGCGAATGAACGTGGCCTTGACACGAGCCAAGTCGTCTCTTTTTGTGCTAGGTCACGCCGCTACCCTTGAGAGAAGTGATGGCACATGGCGACAGATCATATCCGATGCGAGAGAAAGATCTCGTTTAGTCAATGTACGTCTTATAGCCCAAGTGCGGAGTCATAATCCTCTGAACACTGTCATATTAGGTTGATGTTTCCTATTTCACGACGCCAACGAATGCGACGAGGCCTGCCCATGTCCCAACTAAAGCACCGAAGCCGCAGTCTAAAAAACTGCCACCACTTCCTCCAGGCCTTATGCCCGTTCATGAACTCAACTCACGCACGGACAATACAGAACCCGAGACGACCAGACCGTCAGGAGACCAAGCGCAGATTGTTCCAAACCTCACAGAGGATGCAGTGCGAGCTGGCCTGCCGCAATTGGGCGAAACCAGCGTCGGTCAAAAGCGACCAGCTCCTGACGATGATTTGAGGCAATCCGCGCAAGCTTCCACGAACCAGCAAGCTAATCGCCAAGATAGACCCAGACCTCCTCCAAAGAAACGCCCCAAGCCAGCCCCCAGTCTTTTCATACCAAAGAATAGAGTAAGCTGAGCCGTTGTTCTGACTTAGACCACGTAAGACTGACTGCATTACTAGCGCGCGCCCCAGTGATCGGCTTGATGATATTATACACTATGTCTTACTTCAATCATCCACCTGCTATTCGTCATCTAGTCACTCACCATTGCATACACATACAGGAATAACTTATTACTGCAATTTTGTTTCATCTTCATGCACATAGAGTCCAAATTAAAATTACTCGGGCATCATAGGAATTTGGGATGACGCCTCAACGGCGGGTAACTCCCACCCGGCTGGCCCAAAGTGTGGAATCACCATAGAACGGCCATCTTTGCCTTTGATTGGCTTTGAGAATGTACAGAGACTTCTGCCAAGGCTTGACAACCAAGCGGCGTTCACAACAGTAAGGCCTGACGAGGATTATAAGCAAAAGGACGTTAAGGAACAACACCAGGTCTTACCTTTGATCCACACTCGGGAGGTGCGAACAATTTCGAGGAAAACAACATAATCGGGAGGAGGTACATGCGCTAAGACTGAGGATGGGTGTATGAAAACATCATCTGTAACACCGATCGCTTGGTACGGAACACCTTTTGATGTCGTGTACTTTTCGCCGGATGCACTTCCGCCTTGAACAAGATCTTTGCGAACAGCAATTTGGTCTATGAACCCAGCCGCTATCAGCTGTCTGAGGACTTTGAGCTGACAGTATTCTGATTCAGCAATCCGTTGACGCCAGCGAATTACCAACATACCTGTAGATTGCTCGGGGGATTGAGGGTGGACCATAACCTCGTTTCGGAGTCGGGGAAATTCGCCTGGACAATGTTACTAATCTGCGCACGAAGTTTGTGGATCTCTTCCATCGCCTACGATCTGAGCATAAGATATAGCCCGGGGTCGTTACCGCCATATCATACCTTTGGTCTGACAAAGTGTTCCGAGCAAAATTGGTGACCACCCCCCGCGTATTCGTACGCACCAACGACCGACAGTATCCGCATGACATCACTAGTAGAATTCCCAAGATACGCATGTATCTAACCGCAAAAGTGTGAGCACACTCCTCCTAGTGGTTTGGGCATCTGTACCTGTTGTGACTGAAAGTAAGCGCGACGACGCTGTCTTCGGGCTTCCTTCGCTTTTCCAGCCTCACTGGAAAGCTGCGGTGGAGCATTTTCGTCCTCATCAGATTCTACCTCGTCCGCTTGGAGTGCTTCCTCACGCAAAAACGGATCACCGACAGACAAGGCCGACACGATCGTAACAACATAGGGTAAGCAGCCATGTTGTCGCCCGCTAACTAGCATTCTAGAGTATCGTGGCGAGAGTGGGAAGAGTGCCATCGCCTTGCCTATATCGGTAATAGAACCTCCAAGGACAATAGAAGCGCTCGACTTGGATTTCAGGGCACCCAGGTGGCTCAGAATCGTCTCTGCCTTGCTGAGACTAGTTCTGTCCGGGGGTGTCGGGAAGGGGAAATTGACGACAGCGTCAATGTTCATGCTCTTCATCTGCAGGACTACCCCCTCAATGGGCACGCGTAAGATTTCAGGTTGAGAGAACTGATCAAAATACTGTTCATAGAGCGCCGATGAGTACAATCGGTAGCAGTGGCCGGGTCCCGTCCGGCCAGCACGACCAGCTCTCTGTGCTGCGGACGCCTTGGATATCCAGCTCACTTGGAATGCTTGAATACCGTTTACGACATCGTATCGTCGCTATGAAAACATCAACGTACGAGCGTGGTTGAATATACACAACGTACCTCCTTCGCTCTTCCACAATCCACAACGTACCGAATATCGGGAATGGTGAGGGAAGTCTCGGCAACGTTCGTCGCAACCACAACCAGCCTGGTTCCTGGTGGTGGAAGCTGGAAGACCTGTGTCTGCTTTTCGCTAGGAAGCAGGGCATACAGAGGGACAATGTGCATAGGGGCTAGAATAAGTGCCATCAGGTTCGACACATCGCAAGATGTGATAATCACCGAGCACATACTATCCGTTTCTTCCGAGTCGATACCTAGCTCTTCATCGTCTAATTCAGCGTCGGTATCGAGTGCTTCCGGGTCCTCGACTGTAGTGACATCGCCATCAATGTCTAATGCCAAATCGGCGGGATCCTGCCCGGTGGCCCCAAGGTCAATGTCTTCAGGCTCTATGTCAACTATTCCCAGGGTCAGCGTTTAAGCCGTGCTTAATAGTCTATGATCTTACCTTGCACAGGAGCGACGGTCGCTTGTCTTGCAGTCGCCTCGTCCTCCGCATCCGCCCGCTCAATCAGACGTTTCTGTGCCGCGCGTCTCATTTTTCGCTTGGCCTCCAGTGCTTTACGGCCATACCTCGCCTCCAGCTTTCGGCACACGCCTGTGATCTCGTTCTGCCCCGTAAGAAAGATGAGGATCCCGCCTGGCGGGAGCCGCGCGTGGATCTTGCTCGCCTTTTTGATGGCCTCTGTGACGTAGTCAGAGGACGTGCGTCGGCTGAAATGAATCGTCACTGGATGTTGGCGCGCCGGGACGTTTATGATAGGTGGAGGTGACGAGAACAACGTCTTGTTCTCCGCGAAATCGGATACCCGTAGGGTTGCAGACATGATAACCAGCCGTAGTGGCTGGAAAACACGCAGCTGTGTTAGCCTTCCTTGAGTTTCTAATAAGATAGAACAATGAACCTTGACTCCGCCCTGGTCCTTGCGCCACATATCCTCCCTGAGCCGGATGACACGACTCAAAACGCCAATCAGGATGTCTGTGTTCATGCTCCTCTCGTGTGCCTCATCTATGATGACTACCGAGTATTTCGTTAACAGGAAATCTGTTGCCAGCTCGCGCAGCAAGACACCGTCCGTCATGAATTTGATAGAGGTTGTCGGCGCAACTGTAGCATCATAGCGAATTTGATAGGATACTCGAGAAGGCGGCAACGACAACTCGTGTGCTACCCGTGCAGCCATGGATATGGCTGCTACACGCCGCGGTTGTGTGATGCCTATCATGCCCGGATTATCTAAAGGCAACACCAGCCATGAGTTGTGCTTATTAAGGCTTGCGATCGCATCTCGCGATGTACTCACCACTCTCAAGAGAACCAAACCCGGCCTCATACAGGAACTGTGGGACTTGGGTCGTCTTTCCGCTTCCCGTCTCACCGCATATGATCACGACGTTATTTAGCAGAATAGCCTCCATGATCGGCTGCTCCTCAGCGACAATGGGCAGCAATATTCTTGCTTTCTGCACCTCCGGAGGCCGTGTGACGGATATGGCCTTCCTGTTCTGCGCGGTAGCATCAGCATGAGATGCGTAAGCAATTTCTTGTACGTGTTTAGCGAACGACGTGGCTGGTAGTTGGAGATCCTCGCCAAGAGGTCCACGCATCTCGCCAGGCTGGGATAGCTCGGTCTTCCGCTTCTTCTTTGGTGGTGCAGGCTCTCCACTTGTTTCAGATAGTGGCAGCGTAGGCGAGCGTGGCACAGCGGGGGCAACGTAGCCTTTAGCGGTGCTGAGTTGTTGTAGTGCCCATTCTTTGAATCCTGCCTTCTTGGGTTTTGCGACAGGCAGGTCCTCTTCTGGAGACTCCTGTCCCGAGTCACTGTCTCCAGACCCAGATGAGTCGTCCATGCCAGATTTTCGATCGTACGCATTTTCGTCCTCACTTCTATCATCAAGTTCGTTCTCGCTCTCATGAGTGTCGTATGCAGAGTCGGAGCTATCAAATGAATCGTCCGAGTCCTCTTGGATAGGCGAAGCAACAGTCTGAGCAGTGCCTTTAGCTCCCCATGAGGACCGTGAAGACTGAGCACCCATGTTAGCATAATAATCTTCAAAACGTCATAAGGGGTTCACCTTTGTGGATTTGCGCTTCCGTTTCCCAATTTTAGGTGCAACAATAGAGCCATCAGGATTACGCTTCAAAGCACCTCCAACGGCAGAAATGACTGGAGCAGTTGGCTGGGGAGGTTCAGGAGGCAGCATTTCTGTTGCAAACCCAGAATCAACGATTACCACAGGGTTTGATCTCGACGACCCTTCTTGTGCGTGATATTGCTCCCACTTATCCTCTTTGCTTGTTCCCGCGTCCAAATCATCGTCGCTGTCTTCACTGTTACTTTCCGTAGCCGTGGCGAGAATTCTCTGGCGTTTACCACGTTTCATACGACCGTCCATCACCCGTCTAACCTCTTTGTCCTCCTGTTTATCCAGGAGCTCTTTGTGCGTCGTAGTTTTGCCGGTACCGAGAGTAGAAGAAGACTGCAGCTGGAAAGAGGTAGACAGCTGGGCCTGGCTCTTCCTTGTAATGCAAATGGTCAGCATTCTCGAGCACAACGGCGTAGTACACGTACGATAGCTTCTCGAAGAGGACAACCCGTTCTTCTTGTTTGAGTTTTTTCTCCTACGGAACGAGAACCTTTTGTAAGAGATGTGCCGGGAGACACAAGAAGCACTTACAATGTACTTATCGAGCCTCTTTTTCTTCTTGCTATTCGCCTTGGAATCAGATTGGGCGAGGAGCTGCCGAATACTTAGGGACGTATTCGTTGGTTGCTCAAGCCCAATAACCACGCACCTCTTGTCTCAGCCTTTCTCGTTTATCCTGCTCCTTCTCTTCCACAGACTTGTGCGTTATAACCTCGGCATTGGGATCTACTGTTTCCTCAGTTGTTTGGCCATCCCGTCTGTGTCTCCCCTTCTTTTTGTGTGAACCAGCAGTAGACTGGCGAGCCTTGGCATTATACCTCTGCCTGGTCCGTTCGGGGGGCATGATGGCCTATGAGTATGGAGAAAAGATATGAAGCCCGGGAGTCGAGTTGACGGAAAACCGACACAGCAGATTTGCTGCAGATCTCGATCGCCGGAGTATGACGTCACGTGGTCGAGACACGCTGCAGTCGCCTACGCTCGACTACGCCAACCGCTACACCGTACAGCGAGCTTGGGTGCGCTGGACTGTTGGAAGACCATAGATAGGGCCATTCATGCGCAGTCTCTCGTGGTTATCTCCTGCGCACAATGTGCTAGCCTCAGCTGCCTCTAGACGCACTCTTTCGATCACAGCCCGCGCGCTTTCGAACCAGCGAGCACCAGGCGGCGCATGCATCACGAGAGCACCCCGTTTACTTATATATTCCTCCCATCGATCTCTGTCCGTATCGTCCAGTTCTAAGCTATTCTCCTTTGCCTCTTCTCCCACTCCTCCAGCCATGGCGTTGCTCACTCCGCCCCAGCCTCCGCCATCATGGACGCACTCCGCTGAAGATGTTCTAGTACTGACTCAAGAAGCCATCACAAAGGACCGCGAGCTGCTCGACAAGGTTGCTGCTCTCGCACCCGACGAGTGCACCTTCGCGTCCGTATGTTGTTCGGCTGTTCTCACTTCATGGCCGTCCTGACAGTGCTGGCAGGTCTTTGTGAGTGCTGCGGCCTCTCTCGCATCCTGCATCGTAATGTATCCACTTGCAGGGAGCTCTCGCAGAGGCAGAAGCTCTTCTCGACGGAGTCGTGGAACCTTTATCGTTCTATCAGAACGTGTCCACCTCGAAGGAACTCCGTGATGCCTCGAATGCTGCTGAGGTTCTCGTGCGCGACTACGGTGTAGAGTCGTCCATGCGACTCGACGTCTTCCAGGCTAAGTTGGCCGCCGAGAAGAATATCAAAGCCAGCGGAGAAACACTCGCTCCTGAGGAACAGCGCCTGGTAGACAAGATGATCTTGGATGGAAAGCGAGCTGGGTTGGCATTGCCAGAGAAGGAGAGGGAAGAGCTTACAAAACTTAAGAAGGAGCTTTCGCAAGCCTCTCTGGAATTTAGTGTGAGCGCCTTTGGTTTTTGATATCGCAAGTAAGCTATTTAAGCGTACATTCGCAGAAAAACTTCAACGAGGAGAACGTAAGAGTTTACTCTGGCAAGAACGTCCGCCGGACTGATTTTTGGTGTAGAGCACTATAACCTTCTCGTTAGATGAACTGAAGGGCGTACCCGCGGATGTCGTTTCCGGTTATACGAAACGCACTGAAGAAGGCAAGGAGCTTTATGTGGTCACGATGAAGTTGCCGGACATTTTCCCCATTGTAAGGAGTCAGCCGTCTCATAAGGTCTGCTCATTCATTTGCCTAGTACAAATATGCACAAAATCCCACTACGCGGAAGACGGCGTATAAAGCATATGAGGGGCGGCTGGCGGTCAACGTGCCCATTCTTGATAAGATCATCGATCTGCGCAGAAAAATATGTGCCCTGCTCGGTTACGAGACGTGGGCAGACTATGCTACAGAAGTGAAGATGGCGAAAAATGGGCGCACAGTGATCGAGGCATGTTTCCAGCTTCCACGCATAAAGGGCTTGAGGCCTGATCATCTTCCAATCAGTTCCTCGATGACCTCCAGCAGAAGCTGCAGCCTATTGGCGCGAAGGAGAGCATTGTCCTGCTTGGGATCAAACAGGAAGAGTGCTCGGCGAACGGATTGCCCTTTGATGGCCAGTTGAACATATGGGACTACTACTACTGCGAACGTCTGCTACTTGAGCGCACACTTCAGTTGGACGAGCAGAAGGTCAAGGAGCACTTCCCTGTGAGCACTGTCGTGCCTGCAATCCTGGACATCTATCAGAACCTGCTGGGCGTACAATTTGTTGAAATCAAGGGGGAGACATGGCATCAAGGTACGTATGACACATCGCCATAATGGCCCATCTTTGTAGGCATTCTGAATCTCACGCCTTCTCAGACGTTCAACAATTCGCTGTTTGGGAGAAGGGCGCGACGGATGAATCCGGATTCGTCGGATACTGCTACCTGGATTTATTCCCTCGAGGTCAGCACATATATCCATCTTCGTTGATCACGAGGCTCACATTAGCTCCTTCATCCATTAAGAATCGAAATACTCCCATGCAGCGGTGTGGCCGCTGCTCCCGGGCTACATTCAAGCGGACGGGAAACGGAATTATCCGCTCGCGGCAATGGTCGCGAACCTTGCAAAGCCGACGCCAACGACTCCCGCACTCATGCCGCACAAGGACGTCGTAACGTTCTTCCACGAGATGGGACACGTGTTCCACGGGCTGTTGAGTAAAACGCGGTTCGCAAGATTCCACGGCACTGCGTGAGTTTACAGCTGAGCTCTCGGTACTTGGAGCGACGTACTGAAAAATGTACGCAAGTGTTGCGCGCGACTTTGTCGAGGCACCGTCACAAATGCTGGAAAACTGGTGTGCAGACACATCGCCATATTCTTTTTTTTTT